AAGGAACGCTGAAGAATGTATCATTGTCAAATTCTTTACACCAATAGTGGTAATTTTTCAATGGTGTAATAAATTCGTCCATGTGTCACAACGATGTTTGTTTTCAAGACTCAATAAATACACAATCGATATTAACATTTTATAATTAATTCAGATATTGACGTTTAACATGTGAATAACAAAACAGATCATACTGAAGTATCAAACATTGTAGACCAGCTGCTTATACCTAACCTTATATTTTATAAACGTATATCACTACCAAATAAAATAACGTACCTTGCCTGTTTACCTTTGTTCAGTATGTGTGTATTCATCTTGCACACAGGGGAGGCCGTCCTTAACGTCCATAGCTGTTGATAGGACGTTAAACAATACTTAACCAAACCAAACCAAACGAATAATTATGCAGAGGTTTGATGTATACATGACCAAGCACGTCACTGGTACGTCTTCTGTTGATGGTTTAGCAAACATAAATTATTCATCAACAGTTCAAATAAATGTTAATTTCATTTTAAATTGCAAACTTTTGAATAGATAAGCGTATTGTTCCTCTGACGTTTTTTAGATGAATGTAGGAAAACCACACACGAGAATGCACCTTTAAAGGTAGGGTCAACGCCTATGGAGATTTAACATCAGCGTCGACCCCCGCTTGGAATTTCAAAACAAGATAAATCCAAAACGGTATGGGTATAGGAAGCTTAAATCAGGGATAATTAGTTTCAAAATTCATTTTATGATAAATAAGACCTCTTTGTCTTACACCTGTGTGGGTGGTAAAGGTGCGGTAATACAATTCCTTTCTAGAGCATTTAAATGACACAGTTACTATAAACTTATATCATCATCGTGTGCAACATATTCCAACTGTTATTTTGATACCAAGTATTACACAATTTCAAGAATGAATTATTCATTTTATTGAGTATTTAAGCAAAAAAGTATGTGAAATTTCATTACTAATGAGAAAATTTCCATTTTTGACTCATTAATTTACATAGTTTTAAAACGAGTCTATTTTGCATACTTGCTTAAAAGTCGGCTACTAATAATCTATTTCAACATCAGGAATTTGAAAACATTGACAACCGGTAAATTTGTCATATAACACTTTTGATTAAAAAAAACAGGTTTTTTTCCACTTTTCCTTCAACGTGTATTTCGTCATGACCAAAGGTCCTTGGGTCTTGATATTTGGCAAGGAGGTTGTTCAAGTGAATAGATTTAAGTTTTGTAAACGTTGACGACCTTGACCTTCGTTCAAGGTCACAAAAATCAATTTGCTAAAAAAATGTTTGTAAGGGGAGTCAGACAAGGATATCTTTCCTTGCTTTATTTGTTTAGAGTTAACGCTATAAAATAATGTAATATTCTTTCATATTTTGTTTAATGAATAGGCAAAAGGCAAAATAAAATAATAACTAGAACTGTACGCCAAAGGTTAACTTATACCCCCGCTCCTATATAAACCAGAACTGTAAGCTAAAACATTTCTAAGACAAAGCATGGCAAAACAATCCATAGTCTCCTATCAGTAATAACTTAAGTATATAGGTCATTGACATACTTCCTATACTCCCTCTCCATACCAAAACATTCTTGCATACCAAATCTTGTTAGCCCAGATGAACCAGTTTTGCTGAAATCGTCCTAGTAGTAAAGGAAGAGTTGTCAAGACAATGATTTTTAACAAAGGGCCATAACTCTTTAAAAATGGTCGAAATGAAAACATACTACTCTGATGCACGACATCAGTGGGTAATTACCATATTTGTTAACTGCCATTGAAATCAGTCCAGTAGTTTATGAGGCAGACACAAGCTTTTTTAACAATGGGCCATAACTCCTTTTAAAGGGTCGGAATGAAAACGTACTACTTGGATACACAATGTCAGGGGGCAGTTACCATATCTGTAAACTTCCGTTGAAATTGGCGCCATAGTTTTGGAGGAGTTAAAGAGTTTTTCAACAAAGGGCAATTTCTCCGTAAAAAGGATCAGATTGAAAACAAAAATACCTGGATGCACATCACACAGATAGAAGTTATCATATCTGAAAACTTTCGTTGACATTTACCCCTTAGTTTTGGAGGACATGTCCGGACAATGATTTTTCAACAATGTGCCATAACTTTGTAAAATAAGGGTCAGGATGAAAAAGTAATACCCGGATGTACAATTTCATGTGGTAGCTATCATATCTGGCAACTTTCGTTGAAATTGGTCCATTACTTTAGAAGGAGTCTTCCGGACAAACGTTTTCTATGGACAATGATTTTTCAACAATGTGCCATAACTTTGTAAAATAAGGGTCAGAATGAAAAAGTAATACCCGGATGTACAATTTCATGTGGTAGCTATCATATCTGGCAACTTTCGTTGAAATTGGTCCATTACTTTAGAAGGAGTCTTCCGGACAAACGTTTTCTATGGACGGACGGACGGACAAACCAGCTGATTCCAGTATAGCCCCCATCTTCGTTGCGGGGGGTATACTTAAGTATATGATGGTTTTACTATTAAGATTATTTTATTGTTTTTATACAACTCCATATCTTTGTCAATAACACAATCTCAACCTTAAGTAGTTCTCCAGAGGAAAGATTACTTTGGCAGGATACATATTCATGAGTTATTACTGCTGCACATAATTTCAAAACATGTGTAATATAACAAAGTATATTGGTATAATATGAAAACAGAAAATTTAACGGTATTTACCATGATAAACATTGATAATCAAAACTCCATGATTATGTGAAATTGGCCTTTGATCATGTTTGGCATGCTAAAAAAGTACTTTACCGGTTTTGATATTACATAAAATTGATTCTGTAGACAGAATATATATGTGGAAAGTTTTAAAGAAGTTTAAGATATAGACTACCATTGTAACTATATATAGGCAAGTTGACAATGTTGGTTATATTTTAAATTTAGTGAAAACTTTGCATGTTTTTCTAATTAAAAGTATCACTATGCTTATCTAATGTATACCAATATGACATATTTAGTATCAAAATAACAGTAATTATATACACTGTACGCTATCATAATTCATTTTCAAAACAACATTCGCATGTGACACATATCTGTCATTTTGTTAGGATACCCCGTCACTCAACCTGCTGTTATGCAAGGAGGTCGACTACGGTTATCAGAAGTAATTATGAATAATCATTTATGCAGTTATTGATCATTTTTTATGTATCTACATGGCACCTTGTAGCTTTTTTGTCCTTCTTATATGTCAAAGAATGTCTTTGATATCTCAAATTGGTAATATGAATAAATACAATTCTCAAGTGCATATTTCCATGTATTCAAAACACATTCACTGCTATATACACCGGTATTATTTAAATAAATATTACTTCATGTAAAACATCAGTAAAAGGATTTCGATTGCTCATTCAAACATCAAATATCTACATGTGAATTTAAATAATGCCATGTACATTTGGATATCAATATGTCAATATCGTAGAATTGAAAGTATTGGGTGTTTTATGGAGGATTCTTTTTGTCACCAAGTGGGTCATCCTTCCTCGTTAGTTCGTCGCATTGTGCAACAACTTCTAAGACTGAGACATATCGATCTGGAACGGGTAAGCTTCCCTTTTTCTATTCCAATAGTCAGCTCGCTTCGACAGAAACAACAAACTTTCGCGCTCGATTTTTTTCTGTGAAATAACTATTTGAAAAACTTCCGTGAATCCGAGACAGGTTTTTCTGTGATAATACTATGTACATATTTGATAACAAATCGCACTATTTCTGTTCTCAGTTAGGCAGGGATCCTGTTAGTCAATGTCATAGATACTGCGTGGTTGTCGGTATACAAGGACATCGATAGTTAAGGAATGCACCTCTAGTGCGTATATAAGATCATAGCCCCGCCGGGAATGCTTATTAGACAAAATGATTTACCTACACCATAAACTTTTTGGGTCTATTTATATGACAAAATGTGAATGTCATAATAACCGTCGTTTATTGTAATAAACGGCCATATTCAATTCAGATTTTGTGTCCTTGTTTTATTTCATTATGTTTTTCTTAACAGCTTGCCATGGTGGATGTCCTGTATAAATACTCCATACGATACGTACTAAAAGGCGAAACTGTCGAATCTTTTTACCGTGTGTTTTTCTGCTGCGTTTTTGGATTTCAGTCAGTGAGATTTTTAATTAAGCATTTTCTGTGTGTTTGTTTGTTTGTGGTTTAACGCCCAAGTAACAGCCATGTTCATGTGATGACTGGCGCCTGGGGGACATCGCCGAAAGGAAGGAGTTGGGAAGAGAGAACAAAGAATAATTACAATGCTGGTTTCTTCAATGCTTCCTTCACGGAAGACACAGAAGTGAACTCCACAATTTTTTTTTCTGTTGCAAAACATAACAACATACAATACACACCAAACAGTAAATCTGGTTATGTACTTACGTGTAGTTTGGTTTAATGTACCGGATGGCATTGGTAATGTTGATTTTTCGCGCCAAAAACAGCAAAATATTATGGGTGTGGTGGGTTAGGAAACGGTAGATATTAAAAGCACGCTTGAGTTGATATCTACGTGAATAACCCTCTACATTCATTATAGTATTGTATTCATTGAAGTGTAAGAAACGTAGTCTATTTTAGTTCTTATTAAGGTGTAAATATTTATAACTTATTCTTCAACTTCTGTTGTGTGTTTTATATAATTGCATGGGGAAATCGTGCATAGATAGTTGATATACTCGTCGAAATGTGATTTCTTACCGATAGCAAAGTAATATATTAAGCCGTAATGATATTGTGGTATCAAATTACTTAATCCGGCAACAACTTAGTGAAATATAAAGATCATATAAAAATCATCCAAACATCTGTCTTAATAAAAAAAAAATCCAAAATACCCATGCCTATTAAAGGACCACAACATCAATTGATACACACTTTTTGCTTAAATCAAAAAAAAAAGATCAGCAAAGCAACATTTTACTTGTTCTAATGTATTTTAATTCAGTAAACATGAGACATAAATAAAATTAAGACTATATAAACAAAGATCTAATGTATTGTAAGCTTACTTTTCGGAACAATCATGCAAAGTTTTAAATTCATAAAATTTGTTCTATTTTGAACACGTTATAATCATGCTTCCTTACCTCTGTTAAAAAAATCCGATTGATTTCGATACGTTTGTAATTTTCCATTTTATTGACAAACGAAGACGTCACATTTTGAACAAAGGTTTTCACTGTATTAGATCTTCAGGTGCACGGTAACAGTAGGGTAATGTGTGACGTCATATATAATCATATATACAAAATCTTACTTCGCACGATGTCCCTTTAAGAAAAAATTTAATACACAAATAAGTTGAATAACATCAACATGAAAGACAACGCATTGTATATTTACTTTAACGGTGTAGTTTAGTGAAACCTGCCCATTCCAAAGCCTCACTTATAACGACACATGACTTTTACGAAATCTGACTTAACCGACACCTGATTGTAAAGACCTGCTGTCATATCTGGCGTGATTTGATCAGAGACTGGTTTTCCTGCATTTAATAGCAAGGCAGGTTATCGACACACCTGATTAAAGCATCCAGTCCCCCTTGTCGGAAGAGACAGGTTTCATTGTATAATTTTACATATGAGTATTAAATCACCACACGACATGTTCCTGTCGTAGCTTCAAACAGCAACGTCCGATTGCAAATTACCAAGGCGTATATCATCATCAATGTCATAACAAAAGATCTGTCATGTTGACCTTCGCATTTGGCAGTTTGATCAGCCAACGTTGCAGGGCGCTGTTGAAGAGTATATCTACAGAAAATCTATGAGTAGTATTGAAAGGGTTGTCCTCGGTCAACATAATGCGTGTTTCTAATGTACAAGCGTGAGTATTATTTATAAATGGATTTTTGATATCACATTGACACATTTACATATTCAAATTCAAATCACGTCCAGAAACTTCGATTGGTCAAAATACTTGCATGTCCATTCGCCGTGAAGTACAAGGGACTTTGTTTTCTGTCTTTGCATATACAACATTCCTTCTGTGTGTCAGCCTCATCTTAATCTGTATAGTTACTGTCACTAAAATCGTCAGAAACAGACACCCAGCTAAAATTCCTGTACAAATGGCCGTTATGTGTGCTTCCGAGGACATCTCTCCCTTTATAGAAACATACGATGACGTAGTACCCTGCAGAAAAAAAGAAATCAGAAGTGAAATAACAGTATATGCCGTCTAAACTTCTCTCACGATGTTGCTTAAGTGAATATAATGAAACAAATATTAACTTTCATACCTGCAGGTCGGGGATTCAGAAAAGAACCTGTTGTTACCCACTGCATAGATTATAATAGGCGACGGATGGTGGAACCCCTTGCCAAGTTGAGGATTTTGCGTTTGATCACTCTACTTTTGGACACAAACGCGACCGAAAGAAATCTACACCCATTGCAATATGTGGTACCTTCATATTTCTCTTTATTTCTAACTATCTTTTGTTTTCGAGTGCTTTGCTTGGCAATACGTCACGTTTGGCTTTAATGTTGAACGTTCGCCCAGGTTATGAGGGCAATGGGTTCTGTCCCCAGGCCGGGGCATACGAAAGTCCTTAATACGGCTGTTGTTATTGCCTGTTTAACATTCAGCAAAAATGGGTAATGGCAACAACTGGTTCACCCGTTGTCAGTTTAATATGACCGGCCAGAATGCTATTATGGGTGCCTTCGGCATGGTATTTCAGTGAGACAGCGCTGTAAAGTCGGCATCAGATCCGTGCTATCACAGCCAGGCAGTTACATCAACATACCCTCCAGCAAACACACGCACATGTACGCATGTCTACACAAATGTAAGCACGTCCTTAAAATGACCTTAGGTGTTAATAGGGCGTTAAACCCTATAAAACCAAATCAAACCTTGATCCAAGCTTTCGGGTATAGCCCTTCATCAGTTCTCATCGTTATCTCGTATTTTTAAGGGTGATGACTATTCAACCCTTATGAAGGGTCACGCCCGAAAGCTTGGATCAAGAGTAGCTGTGCTATCTACACTATTATGGCGTCATTGTACAAGGAAAACAGCTTTTTAAAAAATATTGAATAATAGTAAGGAAATGATGTTTCACCTGGTGACGCCCATGTGTGACCAGAAATCGTCCCTCGTTCCCTTCAACATCGTCAACAATGACCGTCACCTCCTTCCGGGAACACTGAATGCTGCAAAACGCCAAAGCGTGCATAAAACGCAAGCTTAAGGATCAAAGCAGAAGTAAATGGCATTATTCTGCGCTACTTTTAAACACCAAGAAAAGAGGTTCCCTAAGAGACATTTCACATAGTATATTTTCAATGTGAGGCATTGTAGAAAAATATTTGGCAAATATTCAACAATTCCAGTTGACCAACCAACGGTACCTTAGATGTCCCTTGACTGGCATATTGGCTTGGCCATCATCGAATGTTTCCATGGTGATAGTAGAAACCGTGTGGTCATCAACATCAACCTTATGGATCCCCGACTCGTCGTCCTGGACTTGAAATATAACCTCCCACGTACTCGACTGCAAAACGATTTATTTGAAAATTAAAAAATTCGCTGAAAATAACTCGTCACTGAATAAAATATTTTCAGTGAAAAAATGTAATTGTGGTTATATAATCTAGTTGATAAGGGTTCGAATGCGTAGTTTCCTTCTGGTAACTAAAACAATACTGGTGTCTTTACTCATTATGCTGAAAATATGCTGAAAGCATGTAAATTGAAAGAGATCGTGCTGATTGTAGGCGTGTCAGAATGGGTAATGAGTAGCCAATCGCATGATATAACCCTATGACGCCATGCATCACGTGACTTGGTACCGCAATCCAAATACAGGTAGTAACATGGCGTCCCCGTCATCTGACGGGTTCTTGGTGACCGCAAGTATTTTTGCATCATTTGACCTTGAAATATGAAGAAAAAAACCATGGCTAACATCCTTTAAGGTGGCAAAGCACTTCTACCTGGGCAGAATCGCAGTTATCAATAATATTTGTGGTGGAAAAGGCTGGCGCATGCGTATCTTCATCATTGGGCGGACTCACAATAGACACCTCACGGCTGGAGAATTGGAAGTTCCCGGATGTATTTGTTGCACGAACGATGACGTCACTTCAAAATAAATACATCATCTAAACTTCTGAAAGTTATGATCACTCTATTAAAGAATCTAAAATAAACATGTCACAAATAGATAAGACATCTGATATTATAATGATAAACGGCAAATCAATAAAATAAGGTTATGCATGGCTACACTGTTAATATTTAAGGAATGATTTTTATTTTTTCAACATTTATGAGGTCATAACAACAATGGGTTTATGGACATATTGAATGAATCGCGTTAGCGATTCATGTAAAATATGTCCAAAAACCCATTGTTGTTATGACCTCATAAATGTTGAAAAAATAAATATCATTCCTTATATTTACATTGACGAATCCTTTCAGTGGATCGATATAACAACGAATAAAACAAATAAACAGGGTTTGTTCCTGCTTATACACGGGTGCAACGCAGTGGCGAGAACAGTGTTTTTTCGCGGGGAAATGTGACACTATCGTGAGAGATCTTAGCAACCGTCAACAACAATAACACAACAAAATGTAGTTCCATATTCAATGTTTATTTGTAGCACAGGACACGTGAATACGTGGATATTTCACAAAGCACAGTTCAATAATATTTTAAGATGTAAGAATTAAGCATCTAGGTCGGTCGTTCCGAGTAAGTAGTTTTTGTAGTGTATTACTACGCAGTGTGATCAGGTTACTATCAGTCCCACGTGCTGAGATTCTATGAACACCTGTGTTATGCATTTATGAATGTAATTTTTGTCAATGGGTCTAAGCATACAGAATGTAAATATAAATAGGTAAAGTGAAAAGTCCGTACAAAAATAATTTTACATTCTTAATTTGTCGGTTTTTTTTCAAAAAAAAGAGGGGAGGGGGATAGCTATCATGTCGCCATGGTGGTTTACCTTTTGGTACCCGGGACAGCGTACTCAGACACGTGGACGGTGACGTTGCCCTGGGCGTGGTCGCCAGCTTTTAAATACACACAGTCCGGAGTCACGGTAAACGTCAGGTACTGTAAGGGGAGTGAACTGTTACCGGAACATTTTGCAATTATTTACATTTCACGATAGATGTATCCACGGAATTAGAATGTTATCTAAGTCCGTGATATATCATATAATATTTTACATAAAATTTATTTACGTTTGATATATATATTTCTATTACATGTCACACATATTTTTTTTTACATTTTATATATCATTTCATATATATTAATTCTATTAAATATGATTTTACTACTATCTATATATTTTCTATTACATTCTATAAATTTATACTCTTATTACCTTTATGTTAAATATTGTTACATTTTTACCCGTGAAATAAGGTAGGGATTTTTATTTTTCATTTATTAATGAACAATAGGTGTAAAACAATGTTTAAAATACTTACAGGTGTATCAGAGAGTGCCGTGACCGTGAAGTTACCTGCCCCTGTTCCGTCGTTTACGATCCTGTACTGAAGTACGTAGGATCCGCCCGTCTGGACTGTACCTGTAGCAGGTATGGAAAACAACAGTTGATACAAACAATATTCGCAATATCCGGTGCTAATCTCCAATTAAACTATGGCGTCTTATAAGGTCCAGTTTTTTAAAATGAATTTAAACGTAGATTCGTTTTATTTTGCCTCTATAATTTAATCATCTGCTTGATATTGTTTGCTTAATCAGTTACTCATTATAATTATCATTAGAATAAAGGCTTCATTTTTTTTTTCTTCTTTTCCACAAAAAATGATCGTTTGTGGGTATTTTTTTCTTATAGAGGGTTTCTGCAATTTTGGACCCTCTCCGTTTCTTTCGAAATCATGAACCCACCGCTGAATGAGGAGGACCATTTTTTGTAACTATAAAGGTGTTATCATACCTGGCGTCAGTGCCTTCAGGGATAGTTTGATGCCGTCTGGAACTATAGGGTTCATCAGTGTCCTTTCAATGACGTTTGACCTCATGTCAAGTCCCCGGATGCCAACCCGGAAGTCCTGCAACGAAAACCTTCATTATAAAATTCCTTTGTGATGCTTTGTAAATTTACAAGATGTAAAACGCTTGTGGTTTTGGATTTTTATTATATATATAATTTTCACTCCATTTCATTGAATGCAGTGGACATCAGGTTTATTAACAAATTGACCCCTATGACTTTGACTCCTTGTAAGCAAATTGCTGGCCAAATATGGCGCCGGTTATGAAAGATTTTGTTTTCCTTTGGAAACTGTGAATATATATATACTAAATGTTCTAGATGCCAACAATTTTATTTTTTTACCTCCTTTTGGGTAAATAAAAAGGCATCGCAAATCTTTCGCAATCCTTCGCAAATCTGGTTCCCCATCACCTATGATCACCTATGAACACTTTCAACAAAATTTGGTTGAAATATGCTCATTGATTATTGAGAAAAGGTGGTTTAAGGAAAAGTTTACGGACGACAGACCACGAACGAAAGCGGATTGTAATAGCTCAATTGGTCCTTTAGTTCAGTTGAGCTAAATAAAGACCACCAAAAATTTAACGACAGATAAATGATTAAAAGTATAATCATATATAAACGAATTACCTCCCCTGGTATCCTTATATGGGCCGCGTATGTCCTGTGGCGACGTCCCCTTGCCTTTCCTAATGGTCTTGTTAGAATTGTGGTTCCTACTAGCGTCATCAACGTCACTTCCGTTAAAATGTTCACGTCTTCACCGCCTAAGAGTTCTATACGAAGTGTGACGTTGGAAGCTACAAAATATCGTTTTGTTATTGCATATTCTTACACAGACTTCTTTCATGAAATAATTATGATCTCAAAAACTTACCGTTTCATATGAGCATCATACAAGACCAGACATTTTTATTTTAGCGACGCTCTGTCGAGACTAAAAGAAATATTCTGGACGACCTGCGGAAATTTCATACGGAATGAAGTCGATTTAAATATTCTTTCGTGACATTACAAAGAATTCGCGCCAATGTATGCAACACAATTGATTCCTCTGGCCATCGTCTCGTATTCAACGTCTTTGGTCGGCAGATCACTTTCATGGCTCTAGTTATTAATACGAAGTCATAATTAACGTGCGTCATGACGTATGTCTTAATACTGGCGATACAATTATTGACTGAAATGCATCTTTTTAATATTTATGATGGTATATAACACATTTCTGTTTAAACATACTCCATGGTGCGCGGTAGCACATCTTGGAGAATATGTTTAAACGGAACTGTGTTTCATACCAACATAAATGTTTAAAAACGCATTTGAATCCATCCTAATATTTACGTCCCAAACAGCAAAGAAAAATGAATTTGATCCGTCTTCGCGGTTTATTTTGGTCCATGACACAGTGCAGGTCTGTTCCGTAAGATGACGAATATCAGTCGAACCCCATTCGGGATTTTTGATTTTGACGTCACGCTATGATCGATCGGTCTCAAATTTCTCTAACAGTAGGACGGAACTACCCGATTAGTTTCCGATTTCTATACATTCATATGTAACGGTTCTTTTTGCACTAAGGATGCGTCGATAGCATTGTAAATATTGAGTATTTATGCATGACGTAATAAAAAGAAAATAGTTCACATGGTGTTTGAAGTGCAAAATACGTTGGTACTTCTCTGTATAACGACTTACCAACGATTGGTCGACCTGATAGAGGAATCCCCCAGCCATTGATGAATCTACACCTGAACTGAATCATTGAACTTCCTCGAATTGTTACGTTGTATTCATGCCGTTTCGATGGAAACCTGATCAACCAATCACCTTTAAGAGAAAGCAGATGACGTCATCAATTGGTGTCAGGTGAGAACGACTACTCCCAGACAGACTACTCCCAGACAGATTTAATTAGTTTTACTGACACCCCAATGACCTTGTTTACAGATGTAAAAATCATAGTGTGGTAAAAAAGATGCACACATTCATCACTACTGTATGGACTTTAGAGTTCATTGTCTTAAAAACGCAATTATAATGACATTTGTTGAATTTCGGTTTCGCATTTCTTTAATACCTTCATCGACCAAGGTCCACAAAATATATTTAAACAAAAATACTCCTAAGATACATGACCGATCTTAGCAAAATAGCAATACATAGCTTCTTATCTTCGTTACCTGCATTATGACAGTGATGACACCTGACTGACACGTCCTGTGACGAATGCAATGACGTACGCGGCAAATTCAATTTTCGTTAACTTTCAGTTCCTTGGTAGTAACATACCAATTTCCCAACAAATATGACAAACGTGACTACTTAATTCCACTTTCATTAACTTTACTTCCCTCAGTAGAAGCGTACTAATTTCATGTACATTGTATATACTAGAACCGCTACTCCAGAGCCTGTTATGTGAGGTTGATCTGGATAAATGAGACTTGTCGACTAGATCTACGTTACCTACATACTTTCCTGCATTACACAATTCACAACATGACATAAGTAAGATCCGTTACAGTTTGACTTAAATTCATTGATTCGCTAATTCAAATATCGCGTTACATGCACTGTTTCCCTCGACTTTGGTATGCCCCCCTCCGGCCCTCCTCCTTCATTGAATTCAATTGCGAAAACAAGTAATTAAAAACAGAATGTTGGAAATACACAGACTTGAGAATGAGGTGATTTGCGGTAGTGAATATATAAGTGTAAAGGTTTTACCTGTTATTGGGTGTTTAATCTTCATGATTTTCAGACGGTTACTGTTCACTTCCATTGTTATATTTCGGTCGTCCGTTGGGCTCACAACTTCACCTGCAACGAAAGAGCAGATGAGAACTTCAATACGCCTAGATGGGACTGTTTACTGGACTAGCGTTGTTCGTTTTTGAAATAGAGGCGGTGTTAGTGATCGGATGGTGATTTTTTTCAGAGATCCAAACCGGATGTCCTTTACATTGTAAAGCGCTCTCTAGAACTACTATCTTCAGCAGGATTTAGCTGAATATAAATGGCTGTTATTGTTAATTTCATTATCTACGTCGTAAGATACAATTGAAACTAATTCTGCAAAGAAATTAACACTATAAACAACATAAATAATTATATGTGTTCTTTTTTCAAAGCAGGGCTATCTAAATCAAACCTGTTTAAAAAAAAGAAATACAGATGTATACTTTTTTCTTGTTTATTTCTCCTTAAAAATCAAAAGATAAGCAATCCTTTGTTTTATTCTTGAATATGTTAATGTAAATACCGCACTCATTTACTTTCGCAGATTAACAAAAAAAGGATGAAATGTGAAATTAAGCAAACAAAACAGTCCCTTTGCGTCACCGAGGCTCTGACATACCTGTAGGGTCGTAAACTTGGAATCGGGGACTGACCCCTTTACTGTGGACTTCCACCAACAGATTGACCACCGTACTGTCCACTGACACTGTCTTGTGGTCAGTTGGGGGCGGGTTCACTCGCCACGACCTCAGAACCACCGGGTTACTCTGTGAGGGAATTATAGAATAGTGTGAGGTGTCAGACAGGGTTATGTTGTCATAGCATGTCGATTTTGTTATTAACAAGAAATCAACGTAACAGACCAAATATTGACTTCGAAACAAACAGTCAGCATTTTTTTAAATTAATTTAAAAACAGCAAGTCATTATTCTATTTTTCACTGAAAACAAAAACAGATTAAAATATTGAATCAAGCAACTTTATTGTGAAAAAAACTCAACATCGTTACAATTAAAGGTCAGAAATGAACTGTCTCCATCTAGATGTTCAAGTCATTTTGGAAACAGTTTACGTAGCAACATCCTCGATATCCAGGGGTTATGCTCACTTTCGCTCTCTACACCCCTGGACTATGTCATAGCAAAATTGAAGGCACGAAGATGGCTGTTTGATTGGTCTCGAGTAAAAAAAACCTGTTTCCTTGTCTCATCAACAAGGTGGTGCACACCGAGCCTTCAATTTTGCTTTGATATATTTCATAGAGAGCGAAAGTGAGCGTAACCCTGGATATCGAGGTGATTGATATTAAATGTAAACGTATGAGCAGTTTTCGGTGTACAAATGTAGCTTGCAGTAGTGAGGTACGTTCGTGAAGTGTCCCAAATGTAGAAATAAACCACGTACTTAGACTACGTGACCCTTTCCGCAAAGGACGAAGGGAGATAATTCATTTCAAGTATTAAGATCACCATCTTCCAGCCAGTGACGTAGCAAATAACTTTTGTGAGTGTATGCTTACATAGCTAGAAAAGATTCTACTGGGCCCTAGAAGCAATCTCCCGTGTTCTTGGAACACCTTTTAGTCTGATTAATTACAAAGTAAAAGTTTTACTTGCTAAAATAGGCCCTCAAACGATTATCTGAGGACAACACGGTATAATATGTTCCGTCGGACTAAAAAATTTCAAGAAGATTTTCATTTTATTTTATTTACTTTTTACGATTGATACGGACGGTCCATATTAATCATAAGGAACTTTTTGAAAATATACATGATAAAAAAAAAATCTTGGAAATTTTAGTGCATACATGTATGCTACGCCACTGCCAGCTGTATTCAACTGCTTATTAAGACCTATCGAAGTAATTAAAATATACTCCTTTAACCAAACACACACGAAAAAAACCACCGTACCAACTCTGCCTCCTTTATGATACCAGCGACGATGTCGTCGATATTACTCGTCTTTCTGCCGTCGTTTTCCGAGTAGAGGGTCATTCGATGAGTTGTCTTTGTCTCACGTGCGTATGGAAAACGAGGAATATCATCTGAAATATTTGAAATTGATACTTATCATTAAAATGATCGATTGACTTTGTTATACAACTACTGATTAAATATATACTATACTGATACAGTTGATTGGGTATGGTTGAGTTGAAGGAAGGATGCATGCATGCATAATGGAATTAATGAATGAATGAAATCGGGGAATGGACGAACGGAAGTTGAAAACTCCTCATATGTTATAACTATACGTATAGGTCACTCTACAAGTTTAAATGTATAAGAGCGATTAACGAACGAACGGACGGACGGACGGATGGACGCACTTGAGAGCTGAGTTTTACATAAAAGAGGCCTACCTACCTTCTAATTCTTCCAGGTTGTTTTCCGAAGTCCATGCCTCGGAGGAACATACTCCATAATTAACTGTGAGCAGCCACACTAATCGGACGAACAAGTTTAAATTAGCCATTGTTTAACATTTAAACTCGCGTGACATTGTAGTCGTTACAAGTCCATACACAATGGTGGTTAAGTTATCAAAGTACGTGTACCCGACACAAGTGTTGATATCAAACAAAAATAGACACAATGTTATCTCTACGCTCCGTAATGTATAGATAACTATAGCTATCTCGGTCACGTGATAGACGTTTGACAACTGTATCATTTCATACAGATATGGAACCATTGTGAGGAAACCTCGGTAAAAACTAATTTGTTTATCAAATTTAAAAAATAATATATTGTTTTCTATATAACTTTCGTCCGAAATATATGTATTTTAGTGAAGTGTGTTCGATACTTTTAACTCTTAACATGGAATTTGTATTACTCGATCCTGTTAAATTGTGCGATTGAAAACCTTCTTTTTTTCAAATATTTATATCATGATTATAGATTGTTATTTGGCTATTCTTATGAAATGAAAGTGCTCCAAAGGTAAATATGTATACAGGAGGAGAAACACTGGCAAACTAACACAAACCAAATTGTAATGATCAAATTAATTAACTACAAAAAACAGACTAATTCATTTATCCCGTAAGTTACAGGAAGACATCATTTCACAAGTACAAAAAAAAACACTTTAAAAAAAGTCCTGCAGGTGTTTTAATTGATAGAACAATAGATATGGCTATAAATCGTTCATCAGTGCGACCGTCCATGTAAGTATTTTATTTAACAAAGAACGTCGGAAACGGATTTATATAAGTTATTTCAACTTGTTTCCGGATCCCATTCTTCTGTACTTTGTATGTTATGTTGTGTCATGCGGAATGAAATAAAGGTTATATTAACAAAGAACTATACAATGTTGCGAAAACGTTTTCTCGTATTTTGTTGGCTTCATGTTACTGTGAAAGTTTAATTTCATTTGGAACATTATATTGACCTACATAAGAAACACACTGATACAATGAGGGGGCATGCATGTTGGGGATCCTTGTGGAATCGCCCTGTTTATATATAAGTATCTGCTTCCATTCGATGGTGCGGCAAAATCTAACATTTTTGCATAAATATAAACATTTATTGCATAATCCTAAATCGAATTTTGCAAAAGCATTACATATTGGGAATGGGTTTTTTTCGGTATGTATATTTTACCTTACTTATTTGTATGTAAATCTTTGCAATATTGTGACGTCCTTGCCGCGCCATATCAGCCGAAAGACGCGTGATATGATGCGTTATTTCCATTTTCTAAAAGAATACAAGCAAAAGTGAAAATTTATTATTTCATACAAATATTATTTAGCAACACTTGAATTTTGTAAAATGGACTTCCGTCTACAGATCATTCAGGAGTCCCACCACAAGAGTAATTATAAAATAGTGTAAATTAGAAGAAAAATAATCTGGCTTCTATACCCGTGAAACTCAACAAATCAGCCAGCCGTTCATATAATTTATTTTAATTGAATGAATACACGCATTCCAAACGCTAAAAATACTTTTAAAATTTGAAAACGATATAGGCGTAACGCATTGATACATAATATGTTCATACGACTGCCGTCTGTATAGTAAAACAGCTTCACATATCACAATTGTCCTTTATTGTGACGTCACAAATTCCGATCCGTGTATTACTCATCTTGTACCTGTACGAAATTGCTGAAACATGACAAAAAAGCTTATAGAGGACTAAGATTTTTACCTGTACATGTAACGTAAACAAGCGTTTGCGAGACCCGACGGGAATAGCATTTTTACCTGCCCATGTACGGTAATGGCGCACCTGGCAGTTGTGAAGATGACCTACTTTCGATAATTTAAGTGGAATACTGCTACATTTTCGACTTTATTTTGCCTACATCATATCTTTTTTTACGAAAGGAGGCAAATAATATTTAAACATTGACTTACCTGTACCGAAAAACCGCAAATTACCAGCTTGTGAGGTGAAAGTAGGAAGTAAACACGAAGTTTTGCGTCTGCAAATTCAAACGAGAGAAGTCATCATGAGTGTGAAAGGTGTTGATTCTTTGGACGATATCCCATGGATTTTCCGTGTAGGATTTATAATCTTACTGGTAGCCTGTCTTTTCCATGTTATTGGACTTGGAAGCGCCCATTGGGCTCTGACGGAAACAGCCGAATATGGAACGGTGGAGTTTGCTGGTCTGTGGGAGAAATGTGCAGATCTGAATTTGGGAGGAGATGAACCCGACTTCAAATGCCAAGGTTTCGTCTGGGAAGATGTTCAGGTTTCTCGTAAGTTTGAACACCAGTTTGAATAACCATAATCATGAACAATGTGTACCTGCCTTGTACAGTAAATACATTTTCTTGAAGTTTTTTGTTTGTTTGTTTACAAGTAGTAAACTGTTTAGAAATTGTTTACAACCAAAATACATGTACCTAGGCATTTCCTAGTCCGGTTCTATGTATAAGGTATCAACGGTGACTATTACACAGTACATTGAATGATGTCGGTACTCTATGGTAAATTAAATTTAATCCAGGTGTTCAATTTTCAATATCAACTCTGCTTCAAGGTTCAGGTTATAATTAGCTATATCTATCTATCTATCTATATGTTATACTCCACAGAGACCAAAATGACTTAAATGCGGAGGTTGTTTCCAGACATCAAAACCTGTACTTTGGAAATTATCAATCGGCTTATGAAGCCAGTTTTATTACTTTCTCTGCCACACAGTTCCTCTATCTTGAATCAAAGTATGACTCTGAGATCATAGGATCCTGTACATGTTCTGACTTATAGAACTTGTATCATCTGCAATCTGAGACATTCCGAAGGTGCTAGATATACAATATGTGACATGTCAATCTAATGAGGCCAAAACAAAACCTTGCGTTTCTGCTATCATACTCAGTAAAAATAGGGTAGGTAAGTTAGGTAGGTTGGCAATTATATTTATTTTGGAAAATATTTTTACTTTTATATATATGCCGATATAGAGCAGGAGTTCAGACTAACAGTACTAGTGCATATCACTAAATGTCAATAAAAACCTTTTGGGAAGGCACAAAAATCTGGGACTCTGAGGTAGCTATAAAGGGTTGGTATCAAACTATAATATCATAAAGAATTTTGTGATCTGGTTAAAAAACCCTTTCTTCACTAATTATAGTTTGATACTTTGTCCCTTTGAAGAAGAAAAAATCCCCCTGGAAAACAGTCCTGTGAGATTGTGGTGTTTCATTGGATATATAGTGAATAAAATACAATACTATATTTTGTTAAGAAGATATCTAGGAAAGGGGATGCCTATATCTTTAATAAGTCCCCAAAACAGAAGGAAGGGACACTTAATTATTACAACGAAGGTGACGTCACATGTATTCATTCATTTTTTTATGTGATTTGTCGTTGCCAGTGCAACCTCACAAATCGGGTTTGAAATACAACTGAAAATGGCACAGTACCTGTTTATGCAGTTATATTTTATTACACATATGAGCAGTATAAAGGGACCACACAACAATTACACCTTCATTGGTCTTTTTATGTATTCTACAATTTTATTTTCTTGACATTTGATTAAACATTAGGGCTAATTCCTATTTACAGTAAAACAATAAGCGGTCATTCCTATTTGCAGTGTATCGTTTCAGGCCTATTTTTATGTTATCATATGAATCTGTTAGAATATATATATATCCTTCAGACTTTACAAGTTTTAAAGATGGAATCAAGAGGCAAAGTAATTTGAAAATTTTAATTTATTAATTTACAGATAATATATATTTAATGGTGATGTTTGCGACTCTGATATTTGAGTCCTAATTGCAATTGACTCATGCTTTTCCTTTGGGATTCATCCATGTTTTGAGGACTCGCTATATACATGTATATAACTATGTTTCTTTCAGTAATCATCAAAATTTGGAAAAAGATCAATCTTCAGAGCTCGCATGAAAATATATCTGCAAAAATTGCTGGTATATTGGATATTGAGAATTTTGATTCTGTAGAAATTTATAATCTAATGTTGGGGAACGCTATTCAACAGTTCTATCGATCTTTTAGACCCAAAAATATTCTGTAGAAATTGGAATTTTAATGTTGGGCAACAGGTCTTTCTTTTGGACCCAGAAAGGGTCAAGGAAACTCTCTGCTTAGAAGTATTTGGAGCTAAACACAAGACTGGTCATGTTATATTTGATGAATGTATACCTGTCTCCTCCTACACAGACTGGTTTCGGACCATACAGACCATGCAGGCGATGAGCTTCATAGGGATGCTGGTGGTTTGTGTGCTGGCAGCCATGTACATGTTTGTTCCAGACTTGAGAGGTTACCCGACACTGCGATATTTATCCGTCTTTCTCTTGTTCCTCGCAGGTTAGTTAAATAACGTTACCCAACACTGCGATAAATCTCCATCTTTCTCTTGCTGACAGTTCCTGGCAGGTAAGTTAAAGGTTATACAGGTACACAAGAGGTTACCCAGTGCTGCAATATATCTCCATCTTTCTCTTGTTGACAGTTCCTGGCAGGTAAGTTAACGTTATATAGGTACATCAGAGGTTACCCAGTGCTGCAATATGTCTCCCATCTTTCTCTTGTTCCTAGCAGGTAAGTTAACGGTTATACAGGTACATGTTTATCCTAGAACTAGAAGGCCAGCTTACATTGACCATGCAGTATAATTCTCGATTGCTCTGTGCTTCCTGGAAGGTAAGTTAACGATTATACAGGTACTTATTTATCCTAAAACTAAAAGTTTGAGGTGACCTGTTGACATTGCAGTATATACTTCTCAATTGCTCTGTGCTTCCTGGCAGGTAAGTTATCAGTTATGCAGATACAACATTATATCTGACATAATCACAAAGCTATACCTCAGACTGCTTTTTATCTAGAATTTGTTTAGATGCAATATTATAATTATGCAAATGTTGTTCCCAAAATCGGATAATCATTTGTAAATTGTCCTTGACAAGGGTGAGGGTTATGTAGTATATGCTCCCTCTGAAACCAAAGAATTCAGGGTTTTTCTGTGTTATCTTGGAAATTGACACCTTTTTTCTTATAAACTTTGAATTTGATGCTCTTTGACCTTCCCCAAGATTTTTATTTTTTAAAAAGAAAACAGTAACTTTTCATCCTGGAGTTTTCACTAAGGTCTGCCAATATATTAAAGAAAGTTTGTCTTTTCATGGTAAAAGCTTGTCAGAAGTTTTGGATAGATTTTTCTCTTACCCTGGACAGGTGTATCCACACTTTTACCGGTGTGAGATTTCCTTGTCTCACCCTAGGGTTGAGACGGGGAAATTCCCCTATTCATAACAATGGTATGACGTCACTTCAACAATACAATGACGTCACGTCAACAATCCATCAACGTCACGTCAACCCTGAATTTAGCATGTAGCGTTATCATTACATTGTGTATATGATACACATTGGGAGAACAGGGTAAGAGAAAAAGAATCATTCACCCCCTTGTGGGTAAGATAGGGGAATCTCAACCCTCGGGGGAAAAATTCTTTAGTTGCCAAACACTCGGCAAAGCCTCGTGTTTGGCAACATAAGAATCTTCCCCTCGGGTTGAGATTCCCCTATCCTTCTCCCATTCAAAGTAACGATATTTGGCAATATTTAAAACTTAAATAGACATAGTTTTTTAACTTCTCATTTCAGGAATCTTTATCGTGACAACATGCATCGTGTTTGGATCATTGAAGGATGTCCAAAAGGCAAGGACCATGCCCAACTCCTCCGTCAAACTTTCCTGGAGCTTTGTCCTCGCCCTTCTGGCTGGGATCATGGACTTCGTCGTCGGCATCATCTTCATCATCGGAGGCGAGAGAGAATGATTAGATGTTCTCAATTATGTTCAGGAAGTGTTAACCCTTTCATCACCCCTATGTAACTTTAGTAGACTCTACCATGCATTGATATGGATGAGTCCATTATGGTCTACAGCGGTGAAAGGGTTTTAAGAAGATTGTATTGTGGAAAGAAATTGATTCGTATATAACTGAGAAGTGTTTATTTTCATTGGAATTGAAAGCTGTAGACTTTAAAAAAAAATGTTATTTTGTGGAAAAGCTGTTCCAGAGATTCGATTTTCAATGTTTATAATCAGGAAAAAAAACCCATTAGAGATAATAGGATTCCTTTCTTTCCAAAATACAATATTTTATGCTGTTTAATCAAGATTCATATTCAAAGAGATTTGTACAATCCAAAATTCACAACAACACATCCTATCATTTCCACTTAGAACTAGACACAAATGCAGATTTTGATATTTCCTTTCCTAGTCAACATCAGTAAATATGAAAGATTTTTTTTGAAAGAACAGTGGGGTTTTTCTACACAACTCTGTCGAAAATTGACTTTTATAGACATTTTAAAAACTTATAACTTGCTATTTCTAGGCTTTGTCTGAGTTGTCAATTTGGAAAAAACAAGGGATTTTTTTTAATTGACCTTGCAGTTAGCTTAAGGTTGTTGTATTGTTGTGTAAGAAAATGGACACCAAATTTTTGTTCAGGTTTGCCAAAGACTAAGTTGAATGTTTTATAAAAAAAAGTTACTGGGAAGATATTTTATTCAAGAATAAACTGGTTGTGTATTTAACATGAAAGAAATCACTATCACTATTTTTTTTAAAGTAAAGGTCAAATGTGATTGTGAAATTAAGTATTATTTTTTGGGAAAGGTCAATCAATTTTTCCTTAATATGACCTGAATTGCTAGTATAAAATGCTAGAAAACTTCGCAAAACTAGATATTTTGATTCCCATATGCAGTTCTTATAAAGTTTATTTCATCTGTCTGTTACAAAATTTTTATTTACCTGGTATCCATGACTGTACACGTACATGTACTTCTAACGGGTATAGTCACATTTTCTCTATGAATTTATAGATTTCACAAATAAAGACAAATCCCGATTGTCTGCATAATTTTTAAACAGAAAATAGGCTAGCAAACTTGATTTCATTTCACCCTTAAATTGAAGTTTAAAGTTTTAAAATGTTTTTGTCCAAAGACCATGTTTTCAGAATATCATTTTCAATCTTTATCTTGATGAATTTACTTTTTCAGTCTTTGAGAATGAGAAATCAACTTTACATATAAACCCATGTCATCTTTAATAGAATTCAACTTTATTTTCTATTTCTTGTCTCATCTATAGAATTTGTTACCTATATATCTACTGAAGTATTGGACCTTTTCTAGTAATTCAAATAATTGTTTATCACCATCGAAATATACATTTCTAACTCCATTTTGTTAAATATTCCTCATAGATACATTTTTATCCATGATTTTGTAAATTTATTTGTAAATATTTTTCATATAATATTCATCCATCCATCAAACAAAAAGAACTTTATTTTTGTACTGAAATAATGGGTTGCTATCATTATTCATCAGTTTTCTGTAAATTCTAGAAAATTCATTCTTTTTTGCTGCTGCTGTTGTTCAGAATTAAGTCGTGTAAAAAGTATTAGATTTTTTAGAGAAAATCAGAACCGAGGCAGAAGTGGTGGTCTAAGCTGATTGAACATCGGTACCAAATTTAGACGTGGTGAGACAATGGTATACCATCTGGACATACATCGATATACCGTCAGCACTGAAACTAGCTAAGCAGCCATAGTATTAGTGTATTGTTGGAATCAAATTAACATTCATACATCAATTTATTGCACATGCCAAAATTATGAAAAAGAATTGTATGTTTGTTTCCACTTGTTTTTTTAGCTTGTAAAGAAAAACAAGTATTTCCGATAACATCTCGGTTTCCTACTTGAAACGACAGCATTTTGACATGGTACAAAATGAGTGATCAATTTCAATTGACAAGAGATATTTGTAATGTTTGATCATGCATGCACCCAAATATCAATTCATGTTACAGTAGGAATTATTTCTTTTGTCCTTTCAAAAATAAGTTAAGTTGAAGTAGGAACTTCAATAAATCCCAAAACAAATTTGTTTGCTTTAGTTGGTTATTAGAAATATGGTATATGTAATCACAAATACTTGAGGACTTCCCTTTAATTTTAAGTCCCAGTTGAAAATATATATACATGTGCCAGAAATATTTGGAAATTCATTTGCAGAAAGTCTCTTTCATGTGAAATGTTCTTATCCTCCTCAAAGGTGGAGGGGTTTGGTTTCAATGGTTGTTAAATGCATTTTTATCTCATCTGTTAAACACATGTACAACCAATTAAACGGGGGGGAAAAGACACACTTTCGTAAACATCCATTTTGACATTTTCTTCGGGAATCATTTTCATAAATGATCATTATACATACTGTACAACAAATATTTGTTGATTGTGAGTCAGGTAAACTTAATATGTAGCATTAATCAAGAGAATACTTTATAATTAGTTAAATTTCTTTTCACACAACTAATGTCCAAATTCCATATAACTAATTTTGTTTACCAAATGAAAAGATATTTTAGGAACAGTTTTATTATTATTATTTTAGAATGGAGCATATATAATCTAGACTTTGAATATTTTGAAGTTTTCAATGGAAGTCAATATTACAAGATGTAAAACACTGTGTATTTCATGTTTATAAAGTACAAGTGCATATCATTTAAATATCACTTAAGTACAATTACTGTAAACCTTCTGCTATGTGACCATCATCTTTGTTTTTGTAATTATTTTTTTTATTAATCTTGTGTCCATGCGATGAAGGAACTTTTCCAAAATATCGGTCAAGGGAATGTTTTTTTTTGTGGGTTTTTTTACAAGTTGGTGCAGGTTAGGCACAAATTGTTTTGAATATCGTAAAGTGATAATTTTCACCCAGATTTTTAGATATCCAGCACATGTACATAATCTTCAATCCCAGAAATTTTGTGAATTTGTTGGTTTTCTTTAATCATTGTTTATGTTGATTGACATGAAAAGTGTGAAGTATTCTTCTCTCAGAAAAACAAAGGAACAAGAATCGTGTTATTGGTTGTCAACATAATATATCACCGACCAAATGATATTACAACTCGTACCTATTACCCTTGCTTAGCTAAATCAACTAGTCTGGTTCAATGGTTTTAGGACAGTTTATCATGTTAACAGGGAGGACAGGATCGCCATGTTTTGAAAGACTGATAAAATTGTGAAGAAGACTTTGTGAGATAATGTACCAGTAAAAATCTGTTGATACAATCACAGGTTTAAATTCAAAGGGAGTTTTTATATATATAAATTTAAAAAGATTTTCTTGTCCTCAAGATTATATATATTTTACTATGTTACTATCACTTTAAAAACCTTTAAGATCCGTTTGTAGATAAAAAAAAATGTATCAGACGGCATCAAAAAACACTCTTTAGATCAACCTTAAGATTTGAAAAAAAAATTAAGACGGCATTGGAAATCTTTCTTGCATTTTGCCACTATTTATATGAATTCACAAAATCTACAAATACTCGCTCATTCTGCAGGCATTTACATTACTGCTGACATAATTTTGGGACACTATAGAGAATATTTATATATATATATACTTTTGAAACTATGCATCGTGTGATAATCATAGTAACTAGAAATCACTCTCTCGTTTATAGTATCTCCCTGTTATTAGTGTAAATATAACAATTTAATATGTAAATAGATTTTTTATTAATGATTTACAGATGTATTGCAGGTCTAATGAATATGTAAGACAATAAACAACAGATGATTAATGTGGCATGTTTTTGTTGTTTTCTTGTGGTAAGCATATATACCCAGAATGCATTCGAGTTATCTCCCTTGAAAGATTAAAACAAGAGGCCGAATGGCCTTAGCGGTCCCCTGAGTAATATTATAGGTACTGGTAGCTTGTTTGTTTGTTGAGATGTGATGTGGAAATCAACATGTAAACAAAGTGAAATATAATATTTGTCGTGTCACCAAAGGATAAGAACATGAAAACAAGAGGGCCTGTATCGCTCACCTGATTCTTTTGTTACATGAAACTGACATATAAGATCAAATTGGTAACTACAACACAAGACATTTTAACATCTCTTAAAACAGTTCTTAAGATATTGTTATTTGAAATTATGATTTTAAGATTTAACCAATGTTGACCTTTGTCTTCGACTAGCACTCAAAGTTGACCTTTGACCTCATTACTGTAATAAAGAAAATGGTTCACACAGCTGGTCTACTCAACATACCCAAGTAGCATAGTATCAAGACTCTAGAACTTAAGATTTTTCTGTTTGAAGTTTTTAACATATTTGACCCCTGTGACCTTGAAACTTGGTCAAGGTCATTTTAATAGGAAAGTTCATTGCACTCCATCCCAGGTACTTACTGGCCAAATATCATGACCCTGGATCTTATGGAACTTGAGAAGAAAATTGTTTTTAACCCATATTGACATTTTGCCCCCGACTAGCTCTTAAAGTTGACCTTTCACCTCATCACTAATAAAGAAAAAGATTAACAAAGCTGGTCTACATAACATACCCAAGTATTATGACTCTAGTCCAAATGGTTCTTAGGATATTGTTGTTTGAAAGTTTTTACTATATTTGACCCCTGTGACCCTGAAACTTGGTCAATGTCATTTTAAAGAGGAAACTTCATAGCGCTCCATCCCAGGTACCTACTGGCCCAATATCATGACCCTGGGTCTTATGGAATTTGAGAAGAAGACTTACAGATTTTAACCCATGTTGACCTTTGACGTCTGTCTGACTAGCACTTAAAGTTGACCTTTGACCTCATTTCTGTAATTAAGATAAAGATTTGCACTGCTGGTCTACATAACATACCCATGTATCATGACTCTAGTCCAAATGTTTCTAAGGATATTGTAGTTCAAAATTTTGACCTTGAAAGTAGGTCAAGGTCATTTTAATGAGGAAACTTTATAGCACTCAATCCCAGGTACCTACTGGCCAAATATCATGACCCTATGTCCTCCAGCTCTTTGGGAGAATTCGTTCAAAAGAAAAAATTGACAGACGACGAACGCCGCAGTAGAGTATGATCTCACATGGCCCTTCAGGCCAGGTGAGCTACAAGCTATTCAAATAAATTATTTTGCTATTGAGAATCATAATATCTGAAAATTAACAAAAGTGTTATTTTCCTATATAAAATATAGCCAAATTTACCCCCTCCCTGAGGGAGAACAGATGGCCAGGGGTACTGAAATTTACAATTTAAATAAAGCCCCTGATGATCTTTCCATCCATGCACAGAAATTGACTGTAGTTCCTCTAAGTCTGGAGAAGAAGATTTTTGAAATGTTGGTTAATTTTTCCTTTGGGGCCCTGCACTGATGTGAAATAAATCCTCTCTAATACATATACCATAATCAGAAATCACAATTTCACAATTTGATACTATCTTCCTTCAAGGATGATTATTACCAGGAAAGAATAATTTCCTACCCAAAATTGACAAAACATACACATAAGTGTTATTTCCCTATCTAAACTATTGTAAACTTTATCCCCTCCCCAATGAGAACGGATAGCCCGAGGGTCCTAAAAATAATTTAAGTTAAGCCCTTGATGATCTTTCCATCAATGCAGAGAAATTGACTTAGTATCTCCAAGTCTGAAGTAGATTTTTGAAATATTGATTAATTTTCCCTTTGGGGCCCCGCTCTGGCCCCAAGGGTTGGGGCAGGAATCCCATTTTACACTTCGATACCATTTTCTTAAAAGGATGATTATTAATCATGATCCACTTGAAGCTTAGAAATAGATTTAACTTGAAATTGCAGTGACCACATTTTGTCATGTAAAGTAATATTTGGCAGATGTAACAAACATACAAAGTATAGTAAGAGTTATTAATATAAGTTGAAATAACTTGTTTCATAATTGTTGTAAAATAAATGAAGTTTATATAGTTCATATAATTACATACATTGTACATGAAACAATGGACAAGATATGGTCCGGAAAACTATATTTCTGCATCTCAGATCAAGGCTCAAAAGGTCAAAAGAGGTCACGATAACCTTGCATTGGTACACAACACAGCAATTTCTCATTATATACCTACATACCAATTAATTAAGTCTGAGGCCCATGCATGAAAAATGGCTCCAGACATATTGCAGAAACTTGTTTTTCTCTACCTAAGATTAAGGTCAAAGGTTAGAAAATGCAGCATTTCCTTTGCGGCACGTGATATGGCACCTTCTAATGATGAACCTACATGTGTATACCAAATAGTGAAGCTCATATTTACATGAAACAATTGCAAAGATATGTTCTGGAAACCTATATTTCAATATTTGAGGTCAAGGTCGAAATTCAAGCAGAAATTGTGGTGTTGGTACATGACACAGCACATCAATATGAAACTACAGTGAAACCCTACTTATGTGAACTCGCATTACTTCAATACCCCGTCATTGTGTTTATACATGTGTTACCACCAAATCAGATCAATACATATACTGATATTGCGCCCTATCTAGCTAACATAAGCCACTCTAAAGCGCTTTACAGTACATAGATATACAATTTAATACAATGAATACAATTAGCATATACATTAATCATTACAATTTTTAGGAATTCGCAGGAGCTGCCTTCTCAGGCGCTAACTACTAGTCCTATGCCACCTGGCTAATATCTCCCTATGTGTGTATGCCTGTGTGTGTGCTGGAGATGTAATGTGTTCTGTATGTAGTGGGACTGTACTTCCAACAGTATCATTTATAGTACCACATCACTTGAATACCACATCACAGATACTGCAACATCAACCCCAGACCATTTTATACTCCACTTGGGTTGTTGGAGTTGTGTGAGAAAAACACTTTCTCTGAATATTCCATGGGTACGACATACAAACATTAAACTGTGATTGAGATATGCTCCAGAAATTTGGAGGAAAGACAGACGGATTGACACGCATGGCAATAATTATTATATACCCCGGACTTCTTCCTTAGAGAGGGGTATAACAATCGGATAAAAAATCTAAACATTTCACAATGATTCACAATATTTATTGCACTTGTTATATACACAGTATGTATGTACACTAACACTTTACCAAGTTAAAGTTAATAAAACAAATATGATCTGTTTCATCTTGGATACAATTATAATATAGACTCATCCGGAAAACAGCACCAATAAATTGACACTTGGGGCCAAGTTTTAAACTTGACCACCATCCGTTTTACTAGCAAAACATTCTACGTATACTGTACACAATGGTCAGTCATTTAACTTTCTGGACATCAGAAAAACTGTTACAACCTAAGAAAACTTTGGATGAGAGTTATTACAGACACTCCAAAACTCTCAACAAATATCTTTATCACACTTTTGAGCAAGTTGGCAAATAATGGTAACCTGTTTTGATGTTTTGACTTCTGTACAACCTTTGAGAAACTGTTACAACCTGGGAAAGGCCTTTCGGGCTATTCAAAGCAATTTGAGAAGAGAGAGATCGCCAAACACTTGCCTAAATACATCTTCATTACACAATTTTCAGGGAAGTTTGTAAATAATGGTTATCGGTTTTGACATCTGTTCAATAATGTTTGACCTCCCAGGATCCTCCGTGATCGCCATGATAAATATCATCATCCTGGTAAAAAAATTGGTGAAATTCATGATATTTTTCACTTGCATTACATTTTTTTCTTCATAGATTTGCCAGAAAAAGGTGAAATCAAAAACAGATTAAATTTGAAAGCAATTTTTTTCCCGAATAGGTCAGATAAAATGTACTTTGCATAGTGCAATACATAATTTAAATGTTCAAGCTTCATACATTTAGCTGCACCTAATGGTCATCAATTATCATTAAGGAAATATTGGAGACAGCTGTTTACTGCTAGTGTTTAACAAAATTAAATTGTGACGGTAAACTACGTGGTATGCTATTAACCCTTTCACCACTGTAGACCATAATGGACTCATCCAGATCAATGCATGGAAGAGTTTACTTAAGTTACATAGGGGTGAAAGGGTTCTAAACAGTCAGTGGTCTAACGTGTCACAGAGGTAAAGCACTGGAGTGCACCAGGTATATGTATTACAGAGGATTTATTTCACATCATTTCCATCGCTCTTGCTGCCACCATCATCCTCCATATCCTCCTCTTCCTCCTCATCTCCCTGAAACAGCGATAACGAAAGGCAAATTTTAATTGTTGAGAGGAATAGCTGGATTAACACAGAAACCAAGTCAGAATTCGAAAAGCGGAAAAATTTCCAATCGGCAAAAGGTCGCTTTGAAATCCAAGGATCGGCAAAATATGTTCCCAAGATTTGTAGAACGGTTATGTATCTCAACCAGTAAGTGTTCATGTTTGTCGTTTATATGACTATCACGGTATAAACTCCGTCACCTTTATCAAACAAACAAAAAACCTGGTCTGATGAAGGTGACAAGGTACGTGCCATATTAGTCACCAAAACATCACACACAAACACTTACTGGCTGTGATCTTTTCTACATTTCATCCTTTAATACCAACCTGAAGAAATTGTTTAGAAATGTTCCGAAGATGTTTATTCTGAACCTTCTTCCACTGCAGAGGTTGTAAAGAAACCAATATACAGTAGATTCTGCAGAAACAATACGAGATCTCATTGGCCTCAATTGTTTAAACTGATTGCTTATGATACCTGAATGTCAGTACATGTATATGCTTTTGAGGTTAAAAGGTCAAAGGTCAGGGTTACTGTTCTCAGTAATTTTCACTCAAAGAATCAATTCTGTTGTTGCAGACACTACACCAATTGAATAGCACATAAACACTGGCTTCTTAAGGAGCAAAGATGCCTCAATTACTTTTGATGAGACTAATTTGGATAAAGGTTTAAACCATCATTGCTTTAAATACATTTTTATACACAGCTTGAGAAATACCTTCAGTTTCACCGAGGTCAAATTATAAAATGTTTCCGCAAGGAGAACACCTTACCGAGTTGTCTGTAGGATCACACGCCTCACAGTGCCAGGAATATCCACGTTGTTTTGGAGATTTCTTGGCCGGAGGATCCAAACATCCAAAGTGGTAGCTCAGTTTACACTCATCACAGCTGTAAAATGTTAACAGTTACACAGCATTAATATTAAAAGTTTACTTCATGTCCTTGGTTGTAAGACAGGGGAACTCTATTCCACTAAAGGGGCTTTAAAAATGTGTGAAACCAGAGGTTTTACGAGGGTTTTGCACAAATTTGGAAATACCAAGGATAGGGTGTCCTTATCCTACACACCTGGGCATAAAAGTGTAGCTCAGAAACTATTAAAAGGTGTTTTAACGTTTTCCCTGAGCTTTAAAAGCCTTACTAAATTATACCATACCTGACCGTGTTGGTGTAGACGCCAAGCCCGTTACACACAGCACACATTAACTCTCCCTAACTAAGTTATACCATACCTGACCGTGTTGGTGTAGTCGCCCAGCCCTACAACGCTCCCTAACTAAATTATACCATACCTGACCGTGTTGGTGTAGTCGCCCAGCCCGTTACACACTGCACACATTAACTCTCCCTAACTAGGTTATACCATACCTGCCCGTGTTGGTGTAGACGCCCAGCATGTTACACACTGCACACATTAACTCTCCTTAACTAAGTTATACCATACCTGACGGTGTTGGTGTAATCGCCCAGCCCATTACACACTGCACACATTAACTCTCCTCGAAAATGTTCCTCTTTTCCCCCTTTCTGTTTCTTAGCTGGCGGAGGTTGACTGAGCTTGAATGATGCTTCTGGCATCGGTTCAGTCTATAAAAATAACAGACATAAGCAAAACATAGAAAAATCAATGATAATAAATAATATATATACAACATTTCATATAGCACCTAATCTAGCGAACATAAGCCACTCTAGTGCGCTTTACAGTACATAGATATACAATTAATACAATTAGCATATACATTAATCAATACAATTTTGAGAAATTTGCAGGAGCTGCCTTATCAGGCGCTAAGTAGTAGTCCCATGCCACCTGGCTAATATCTCCCTATGTGAAGCATTATACATATAAAATTAGATGTTTGCACAGCTCACTTAATGTTACGGTTCTAGTAAATTTGATTAAAAACCATTACAATGTTAAGAAATATAATGGTAAAGGGGGACAATATCTCAATAAGTTTACTAATGAATGGAGAAAATGGATAAAAGTAGTTGAACTTGCCTAAACATTGATAATTATTTTGGTGGTTTTTTTGGTTCGTTTTTTCTCTCTCTCTTATATATACTAAATACTGTCCTTAAATTGTTAATTGCCTTTTCATCAACCACTTACAATTTGCTATGAGTTATCTTTATATTAATCATAAGTATAACATATATCAATTGGACCTTTACTCGGAAAGTCTGACATCTCTGTCGTTCTGTGTGTCTGTGTGTCTGTCTCTCTATCTCTCTGCCTGTGTCAGTATCTGTTGTTTTCTTTAATAGCGATAAAGGAATGTAAAACATTGATGATGATGATGATGATGATGATGATCATGATGATGATGATGATGATGATGTTGATGATGATTATGGATGATGATGGCTTAGAAGAAAACAATGTGTTTTTGTTTTGTATGCTTTTGAATATGTGCAAATATCATGTTTATGTCAAAATTGTTTATGTAAAATCTATGAAAAATAAATAATTAAAAAAAAAAAAATCTCCCTATGTGTGTATGACTGCGTGTGTGCTGGAGATGTGATGTGTTCTGTTTGTAGTGGGACCGTGCTTCCAACGGCATCATTTATAGTGCCACCTCACTTGAATGCTACAGCACAAATACTGCAACACCCACCCCAGACCAATTTATATTCCACCTGGGTTGTTGGAGTTGTGTGGGCAGGAGAAAAACCCTTTCTCTGAATATCCATGCGTACGACGACTTCGGGGATCGAACCCCGGCCGTCTGTGTGGAAGGCAGGAGTGTTAATAATTAAGTCTAACATCCCTGGATTGATGTCCTTATGCGTAAAGGATTCCTAGACCAGACATACGTAATTCTGGAGTGATCAAACTAGACTCGAAGATTGTTTTTCACTAAATTTAGATCAAGGTGGCCAATTTCAATTTTTTGTTAGTCCAAACAATACACATGGATGATACGATACGGTTATAAAAGGCACATTCTTATTTTTTTTAGTTCAAACTGCAGGACAGAGGAAGGGGCGACATACATTATCTTGCTTGCTCTTTCTGCAGAGGTGAGCTAAAAATCAAAACAAAGAAATTGCCATGAATTCCTTCGATAAAATGAAATTCATGACCGAGAAGATGCTTTTATTAACCACTTATAATTTTGACATTAAAGATTTGTAGAAGATTTGAATTTGTGTAGGACCATTTTTTGTTTTTACAAATGACCATTGATTTAATAACTGCATTGTTAATGCATACATAATCCAAGTAGAAATTGTAGTTCCCCAGATGTAAATGAAACAATTCTAACCATCTGCACAGACATAACCTTTTTTTCATACCCCTTGCTAACTTTTTTTTTCTAAACATTTTCTTCAGGTTGGTAAGTATGGATTATGAGAAGTTCTTTTTACACAACCAATATAATTTTCTATGTGACGTTTCGATGACTAGTACGATATGTACGCTGTCACCTTCATCAGACAAATGACCAATGAAGCGTATGCACACAAATTGGTTGTGTAAAAAGAACTTCTCATAATCCGCGCTTACTTTGTTGAGAACAAATAATAACAACTGGTGGATCTGTCTGGTGAAGTGATATACAACATGAAGAATAGGTTTTGAGAAGTTAAACCCAGGGCATACCTTTAATATAGGGACAGCAGTGTCTGATGTATCCAGGCTTGCTTTACTGGTGCAGGGACTGTCAACAGCCGGAATATCCTCCTTGTTTAGTCTTTTCTTCTGTCTCCCCTTTTTGGCACCTCCCTTCACGCTGTACTTCGCTGGTAACTAGTATACACAGATAAAATCACAGTTACAAGTTATTGACAGCCCATCAGAAATAATTCAATATTTCAAGCTCACACCTAAATTTCTATAAAATATTGTTGATCAAAACTTAATAAAACTCCAAAGATGCACTATTCTGAAATCATATTCAAATTACACCCATTTTCAGCTATGTCCGTATGCGTAGTACAGATCTTTGTATTTTTTTAAATTTATTATGCCTCATTATTTCATTATTTTTAGCCTGTGAATTTCAACAGAAAAGTTATTTTTATATTTTTCAGAAAGTAGGCCAAGTCAGAAATTACACACATGTTGGTATTTTTTTTTGTGGGGGAGGGATCTGAAAAAGTGCTGATAAGCACCTATTGAAGCAAAGGAGCTTACAAGGTGAGCGTATACATTCTGCAACACTGGGCAAATTTTATGATTGGCAAGTTTGTTTAGTCAAAGGAAGGCAATTAGGTAGGATTAGAATATTGTTGTTCACATTGATACATCATTGTTGCCAAGCTTGGACAAATACCGCACAAATGATCAAGAAATTTCCCCAGAACTTTTTTTAGTACTTTTTCAAATTCATATTTCAGGTCAGGTGACCATTTAAAAGGCTCCTTGATTTTCTCCCGGAGTCGACGTGGAGCGTTTATGTCCCCTTTGGTTCCTTCCTCTGGACCACTGCTCGAGTTGTCACACTGGGAACACTGCCTGTAAACAGTTGATTTATATCAGTAAACTAGTTTGCTTGATGACCAGATATAAGGTTAACTTATACAGGGTGATGTGACAGGAGGCTGTATTTTTAGTTTTTCTAACTTGGCAGGGTCCCATGCTATATGTTGTGACTTTTTTTCACCGTGGCTTTAATTTTGCAAATTCCTTAACACAATTCATGAATTCAAAATGTCAGGGACTGTTTTGCAAATTCTGGAGAGAAAAAAGCAAGAGTCTCTTGCAATTGGGGTCTGTATGATTATCTCAGATTTCTTCCTGTCCCTAAACTTTACAAGACAGCAGTTAGCTAGGACAATAACAGGAACTTTTGTTCTAATTTTCAAAGCATTGGACCTCTTCAAGCAATGAATGTCGGTCAAGATCAATTATTTTTCATCCCGGCAAGCAAAAGGCGAATTTTATGACTTCTGGCCTTTAAAAGTACCGTAAAATCATTTATTTTCGTAGGGTTAAAATTTCGTGGTTTTCATGTACTAGCCTGTTTCAAATACATTACATTTCCCTGATTTCTGATATCCCGATCTATATCATACCATTTATGTTTTTGTGGGGATATAATTTCGTCGATTTTTTTTTATCCATGAAATAAACGAAATTTAATGTCCCACGAAAATTTATGATTTTACAGTAGTAGGTTGAAGAATTTTAGATATTTAACTTGTACAAAGCTTCTGATAATTTCCAACCAGACGAATTGAATTAGTTGCCACCAGCCAATCATATACTGTATACCTGGCAGGTGCAAAATGCAAAAGTTAAACTGTGACGAAAAAAATGTTGTGTTCCAGTAGCTTGTATCCAGTCATATTGTATGACTTACCAGCCCATCAGCTTGGTTTTCTTTGGCATGCGAGTGAGTGGCGGTTCCAGACAGCCCAGGTGGTAATGCTTCTTACACAAGTCACACCTGACCAACAGGTGTGGGTTACAGGACTTCTTACAGACTGCACACCTGATGTCCAGAAGTAATATTTGAATAACAATGACGAAATGATAATTTTCAACTGGCTCTGGAATCAATTTTCTACATTTTACTATTCAGTTCATCATTTAATAGAATTTTTGGAGACTTTGAAGGTAAATAATGCTTAATTAAAGCGTGAAAATTAATTAAGGAGTAGGTACTTAGAGAATTACCTACAACTGTAGGATATCTTGTTTGGGTTATTAATAGGTTGTTTTGCATGTATTTTTGAGTAACACTTATTTTCATTTCTTAAACCAAATCGACATTTACTATTGATCAGAGACATTTTATAGGTTTTCTTTGTGTGAAGCTTTTTTGATAAGGAGGAACATATTGCAGTAAGGTAGCATACATCCTTAAGTCATCATGTCACAGTAAGGTATTATTTACCCTTAAGTCTCCATGTCACAGTAATGTAGCATACATCCTTAGGGTCTCCATGTCACAGTAAGGTAGCATACATTCTTAAGTCTCCATGTCACAGTAAGGTAGCATTCACCCTTAAGTCTCCATGTCACAGTAAGGTAGCATTCACCCTTAGGGTCTCCATGTCACAGTAAGGTAGCATACATTCTTAAGTCTCCATGTCACAGTAAGGTAGCATTCACCCTTAAGTCTCCATGTCACAGTAAGGTAGCATTCACCCTTAAGTCTCCATGTCACAGTAAGGTAGCATACATCCTTAAGTCTCCATGTCACAGTAAGGTAGCATTCACCCTTAAGTCTCAATGTCACAGTAAGGTAGCATACATCCTGAATTCTCCATGTCACAGTAAGTTAGCATACATCCTTAAGTCTCCGTGTAACAGTAAGGTAGCATACATCCTTAAGTCTCCATGTCACAGTAAGGTAGAATAATCCTTAAGTCTCCATGTCACAGTAAGGTAGCATACATCCTTAAGTCTCCATGTCACAGTAAGGTAGCATACATCCTTAATTCTCTATGTCACAGTAAGGTAGCATATATCCTTAAGTCTCCATGTCACAGTAAGGTAGCATACAGCCTTAAGTCTCCATGTCACAGTAAGGTAGCATACATCCTTAAGTTGGGACTATACTCACGGGTTGATGATGGCTGGAGGTGAAGCACAGGGAACACTGTCCTGTCTGGTCATGGTTTTGACTGGAGCTCGCTTGGTATTGAACATCTCGGGCATAGGGAGAGGCTGAAACAGGTAACAGTTGTAGGGGCTTAGAAGAAAGTCAAATTGATCACTGATAGATTTTCAAATCTATCAAAAGTCAGTCAAATAAGGCTACTTACCCCAGGTGAGCTCCAAGTTGACTTATATCAGGTGAGAAAAAAAATAGAATTTTCATTTATGTTATCATCATGCTAAAAAGACAGTTAAATCCAAGCCTCTACATTAGACATGTGTTTAAAGCAAATATTGGAATGAGTTTGATAAATACAGAAATTTTCTAACCATCAATTCATAAGCACCACCCGACTACTATGGGTCGGGTGGTGCAGTGGATAGCACACTTCCCTTTCACCAAGGCGGCCGCAGTTCGATTCCCCGATCGAATGTGAAGAGTTATGGGGTCACCAGCACGATGACGTGGGTTTTAATTAAATAAAGTTTATAAATATTAAAGATTTTTCTGTTTCAATTAACCTTTAAGGAAATACAGCCATTGGAATAAATCTGATCTGAAGAATGAAGAACATTCTTAAAGTTACTAAGTTTTGTGTTAATGGGTCTTGATCGTAGAATAGACTCTGACCTTGATTGCCATTTCTGTAAGCATGCCATACATGTTCTCTCCCTCCTGTTTCAGCTGTTTTGAATGGTCCTTCAGTCTGTCAACATCAGCCAGCAGCTATTCAAAAATCAAGACAAGAAAATCAGTTAATTATAACCTGAGGATTACGCTCCCAAAAAGGTCACCAAAACTGGAATAAAGTTTGTGTGCTGACATGCATATTGATTACTGGTTGTTATTTGTTACATATCTTGACCTGAAATTTATCATGGTTGGTAGCCCATGTTATCTCGGAAATTATTCAACTGCTCACCTTTGGCGAAAAATGAGTTGAGACTCTGACAAACAATTTGACATTTGAGTTGAATGAAACCTTGACCTTGGATGTACTGTCCCAAAAATTGTAGCTGACACACTGCCCTGCCATCCTACGTATATACCTAAAATTCTATTGTGCTATCTTCAGCGAGTCCGAAGTTATGGTCCAGACAAATAATTTAACCTTTGACCTCAATGTGACTTAAACATTAGGTGTACAAAGTAAATAGTGGTACGTGACACACCCCATTCCCGTCCTACAGATATACCTTAAATTTCCTTTCATCTCATCTTCAGCGAGTCGGAAGTTATGGCCCAGACAGAGAAATGGAGCGACAAAGCGGCGACTTTATGCTCCTCAATATTGTTCCGGGGAGAATAACAAATCACTGAAGATAATATTTGAGGTTCTATTAAAACTCTTATGAAGGCATACTTTTCACCTGGTCGTCCTGTCGACGGAGGACGTTCTCCTGTTTCTGTAGTATACTGTCCTGTGTGAATTCTTACCTGGTCGTCCTGTCGACGGAGGACGTTCTCCTGTTTCTGTAGTATACTGTCCTGTGTGAATACTTACCTGGTCGTCCTGTCGACGGAGGACGTTCTCCTGTTTCTATAGTTTACTGTTCTGTGTGATTACTTACCTGGTCGTACTGTCGAAGGAGGACGTTCTCCTGTTTCTGTAGTGTACTGTTCTGTGTGATTACTTACCTGGTCGTCCTGTCGACGGAGGACGTTCTCCTGTTTCTGTAGTATACTGTTCTGTGTGATTACTTACCTGGTCGTACTGTCGACGGAGGACGTTCTCCTGTTTCTGTAGTATACTGTTCTGTGTGATTACTTACCTGGTCGTACTGTCGACGGAGGACGTTCTCCTGTTTCTGTAGTATACTGTTCTGTGTGATTACTTACCTGGTCGTACTGTCGACGGAGGACGTTCTCCTGTTTCTGTAGTATACTGTTCTGTGTGATTACTTACCTGGTCGTACTGTCGACGGAGGACGTTCTCCTGTTTCTGTAGTATACTGTTCTGTGTGATTACTTACCTGGTCGTACTGTCGACGGAGGACGTTCTCCTGTTTCTGTAGTATACTGTTCTGTGTGATTACTTACCTGGTCGTACTGTCGACGGAGGACGTTCTCCTGTTTCTGTAGTATACTGTTCTGTGTGATTACTTACCTGGTCGTACTGTCGACGGAGGACGTTCTCCTGTTTCTGTAGTATACTGTTCTGTGTGATTACTTACCTGGTCGTACTGTCGACGGAGGACGTTCTCCTGTTTCTGTAGTATACTGTTCTGTGTGATTACTTACCTGGTCGTACTGTCGACGGAGGACGTTCTCCTGTTTCTGTAGTATACTGTTCTGTGTGATTACTTACCTGGTCGTACTGTCGACGGAGGACGTTCTCCTGTTTCTGTAGTATACTGTTCTGTGTGATTACTTACCTGGTCGTACTGTCGACGGAGGACGTTCTCCTGTTTCTGTAGTATACTGTTCTGTGTGATTACTTACCTGGTCGTACTGTCGACGGAGGACGTTCTCCTGTTTCTGTAGTATACTGTTCTGTGTGATTACTTACCTGGTCGTACTGTCGACGGAGGACGTTCTCCTGTTTCTGTAGTATACTGTTCTGTGTGATTACTTACCTGGTCGTACTGTCGACGGAGGACGTTCTCCTGTTTCTGTAGTATACTGTTCTGTGTGATTACTTACCTGGTCGTACTGTCGACGGAGGACGTTCTCCTGTTTCTGTAGTATACTGTTCTGTGTGATTACTTACCTGGTCGTACTGTCGACGGAGGACGTTCTCCTGTTTCTGTAGTATACTGTTCTGTGTGATTACTTACCTGGTCGTACTGTCGACGGAGGACGTTCTCCTGTTTCTGTAGTATACTGTTCTGTGTGATTACTTACCTGGTCGTACTGTCGACGGAGGACGTTCTCCTGTTTCTGTAGTATACTGTTCTGTGTGATTACTTACCTGGTCGTACTGTCGACGGAGGACGTTCTCCTGTTTCTGTAGTATACTGTTCTGTGTGATTACTTACCTGGTCGTACTGTCGACGGAGGACGTTCTCCTGTTTCTGTAGTATACTGTTCTGTGTGATTACTTACCTGGTCGTACTGTCGACGGAGGACGTTCTCCTGTTTCTGTAGTATACTGTTCTGTGTGATTACTTACCTGGTCGTACTGTCGACGGAGGACGTTCTCCTGTTTCTGTAGTATACTGTTCTGTGTGATTACTTACCTGGTCGTACTGTCGACGGAGGACGTTCTCCTGTTTCTGTAGTATACTGTTCTGTGTGATTACTTACCTGGTCGTACTGTCGACGGAGGACGTTCTCCTGTTTCTGTAGTATACTGTTCTGTGTGATTACTTACCTGGTCGTACTGTCGACGGAGGACGTTCTCCTGTTTCTGTAGTATACTGTTCTGTGTGATTACTTACCTGGTCGTACTGTCGACGGAGGACGTTCTCCTGTTTCTGTAGTATACTGTTCTGTGTGATTACTTACCTGGTCGTACTGTCGACGGAGGACGTTCTCCTGTTTCTGTAGTATACTGTTCTGTGTGATTACTTACCTGGTCGTACTGTCGACGGAGGACGTTCTCCTGTTTCTGTAGTATACTGTTCTGTGTGATTACTTACCTGGTCGTACTGTCGACGGAGGACGTTCTCCTGTTTCTGTAGTATACTGTTCTGTGTGATTACTTACCTGGTCGTACTGTCGACGGAGGACGTTCTCCTGTTTCTGTAGTATACTGTTCTGTGTGATTACTTACCTGGTCGTACTGTCGACGGAGGACGTTCTCCTGTTTCTGTAGTATACTGTTCTGTGTGATTACTTACCTGGTCGTACTGTCGACGGAGGACGTTCTCCTGTTTCTGTAGTATACTGTCCTGTGTGATTAATTACCTGGTCGTACTGTCGACGGAGGACGTTCTCCTGTTTCTAAAGTATACTGTTCTGTGATATTACTCACCTGGTCGTACTGTCGACGGAGGACGTTCTCCTGTTTCTGTAGCATACTGTTGTGTGATTACTTACCTGGTCGTACTGTCGACAAAGGACATTCTCCCGTTTCTGTAGTATACTGTCCTGTGTGATTAATTACCTGGTCGTACTGTCGACGGAGGACGTTCTCCTGTTTCTGTAGCATACTGTTGTGTCATTACTTACCTGGTCGTACTGTCGACAAAGGGGACGTTCTCCTGTTTCTGTAGTATACTGTTGTGTGATTACTTACCTGGTCGTACTGTCGACGGAGGACATTTTCCTGTTTCTGTAGTATACTGTTCTGTGTGATTACTTACCTGGTCGTACTGTCGACAGAGGACGTTCTCCTGTTTCTGTAGTATACTGTGCTGTGTGATTAATTCCCGGGTCGTACTGTCGACGGAGGACGTTCTCCTCTTTCTGTAGTATACTGTTCTGTGTGATAACTCAGCTGGGCGTACTGTCGATGGAGGACGTTCTCCTGTTTCTGTAGTATACTGTTGTGTGATTAATTACCTGGTCGTACTGTCGACGGAGGACATTTTCCTGTTTTTGTAGTATACTGTTCTGTGTGATTACTTACCTGGTCGTACTGTCGACAGAGGACGTTCTCCTGTTTCTGTAGTATACTGTTGTGTGATTAATTACCTGGTCGTACTGGCGACGGAGGACGTTCTCCTGTTTCTGTAGCATACTGTTGTGTGATTACTTACCTGGTTGTACTGTCGACGGAGGACGTTCTCCTGTTTCTGTAGTATACTGTTCTGTGTTACATTTTCCGTTATGTTCCTTTTGATGTTGTCAATCTTACTGTTTCTCTCTACAAGTGTAATCAGTAAACAAAACTTAATACATGTAATCTTTGTTTGCTTGCACTATTGTTTTTAAATATTCAGAAGCATGCAAGTTTTTTCATTAATTTAAATTTAGAGTACAGCTGTCATATCATTTACTCAAGATACATTAAGAAAACCTTTAAATTTCATAAGGCATCGTCCATTATTCTGTTACAGGAATTAGAGTAGATCAAACTCGCGATCCAATACTTCCTAGTCCTATTCACTACCACTGGTGAGCTAAAGGGAAATTCCCTCTAGTGTGCATCCTCGATATCCAGGGGTTACGCTCACTTACACTCTCTGCACCCCTGTTATATGTCATAGCAATATTGAAGGCTCAGTGTGTACCACCTTGTGGATGAGACAAGAAGACTAGTTTGATCCTTTGATGTACATCAAAAGAATATCGCGGTCGCGTAATGGTAAAATTTGACTGACTTGGAAGTCGGGTGTCGCCCCTTTGTATTCTTCAAAGGACAGGTATCAGCCTAGTGTTTGGCAGGATTTTTTTTTACCCGAGACCAATCAAACAGCTATCTTTGTGCCTTCAATTTTGCTATGACAAATTCCAGGGGTGTAGAGAGCAAAAGTGAGTGTAACCCCTGGATGTCAAGGATGTATAGCGTGAAGCTGCATGCAAGGCGACCGTAATCCTATGTATAATCAAAATCTGCCACAATACGTATACGTAGAGTACCCAGCATTAACTGTTAGCTTACTTAACAGTCATAGACCATGGTGTTAAAAACTAACGGGAATGATAAACCTTTACTTGTATCGCTGACAAAGATTGGGATTTACATATGATTTTCTATATTAGTGATGCACTTCAGGAATATTCTTAATAACACATAGTACCTACTTTTTGTTTTACCTTTTTTCTTTATATTTAATTTCTTGGACTGGCTTGTAATGTTCACAGAACTTATTTTTTTTTGTTAAAAATAAAACATATGCCCAGCTCCAACTTGAAAAAAAGGGTAAAAACAAATCTGACCAAAGAAAGTGAAGAGGAAAATATAGGTCGCTGTCACCTGATAAAGTAGAAGTACATCTGAGGATGCATATGTAAATAAAGTTTAATGACTATGGAGATTGTAGTGTAACAGAAATGGTGCTAAATGTGAAGTCTAACTAAGGCGTTGCTGGGATTGATGTACAGAAAGACTGATGGAAAACGCATACCCTTTACTCCACCTCCACTAATGTGGCTGAGGAGTAAACAGGAAAACTATAGCAGAATGATGAACATCAATATTTGTATGTATGGAGATTTATTAGCTACAGTATCATTTTAATATTTGTTTTTGTTGTTGTTGGATTAACAACTTCACAACAGCTGAGGACATTGAAGTGCTTAGGGGGCCACTGCCAGAAGGAGAAAGTAGATAGCAAAGAACTTAAGTAGATAGGCAAGGAACGATAGGAAACAGAACATATGTAATGTGTTGCAATGGGAGCGGCAGATCCATTTAAGTCTTTTCCATGTCCTATAAGTAGAAGACACAGAAGAAAACTCCCGATTCTGCAGAAGGTCTCACAATATTTACTTCATACAATACACATGTAGTGGGTTATAGCAGGTTTATTCTTGGTTTCTTTAATATCCCCTAAACGAAGACGAGATAGAAACCACCCCACCCTGATTCTGTATGGCCCCACATCATTACTTGCCACATACAATACACATTTCTTTCACAATTCTTTCTCCGAACCTGCACATGTTACAATATCATATAGTTCTATGCTTTGTGAACATTACCGGGAACATTTGTGTACATACCAAGGTAGTAACTGATGAATTCGACAGACAAGGCGGGCAATATATGGGTCTTCTTGCGCATCTCCTGTTTCTCCTCTGTGACATGCTGTACCTGTGTGATGATTCCCATCAGCTCGGCCTTCCTCAGCATCTTCTTCACACAGGACGGACTGGAGGTCAGATATCTCACTAACTTCTGTGTCGGTACTGAACACACACAATTACCTATCATTAACTGTTGATGAGGTTGATACATTATTGTGTGAATGTGAAGTTTGATAAAAGTATGATTTTCTGGCTATTTCTGGAATTATCATCATGATTTAATTGCAACAGCAAATAAACTAAATATCATGTAGGGATTTCTTATTTTTTTAAAATTCAATATCTATTTGATTTGCCCTTGGACGTAATTTTACTGTAAGTGTTGATCTATTATCAAAGATTTCACTGTGATACCATTTTGTGTCAGAGGACATTCTACCTCAAACAAAAAGATCACACTGCAACTTACCCCAGGATGGTGGCCTCTTGAATTTTGATATTTTGTACTTTTGTCTATGTCGGTTTAATTTTCTGTCAAATCGCATCTGGAAAGTGACCAATAAAGTAGAAATATATATAAATATACTTTTTATTAGATAATTTCATTCATATATTAATCTTGTATGCGTAACAGAGGTCATTATTTTTAACAGAGGTCATTATTTTTTCAATGCCTCCGCTAGGAGTCGAACCCAGAACCTCTGGCTTACTAGTGTTACACTCTACCGAATGAGCTAAAGAGAAATTCTCTCTAGCCAAGTCGGTAGGAAGCAACTAGTATTTTACCACGGGGACATACTCCCCCTCCAAGAAAGAACTTGTCCCAAGTTTTTCAGGGGTCATAGCGATTCCTTTGAAAGTATCGCTGAGTGTTTTTGTGAAATCTCACGGATTCCTACATGGACGCCAATGAAACAGAGGTCATTATTTTTTCAATGCCTCTGCTAGGAGTCGAACACAGAACCTCTGGCTTACTAGTCTTATGCTCTACCGAATGAGCTAAAGAGAAATTCTCTCTAGCCGAGTCAGTAGGAAGCTGCTAGTATTTTACCAGGGTAACATATGCATATATTATCTATTGTTTAACACAAGCCACAGTGTGAAACAGGATTTTTAAAGTATTAATAGAATCTACTCTATTACCTTCTCTTTTTCATCTTCAATAACTTTCTCGGTGTGTTTCTTTATGTGCGACTGTATGGCGAGCCAATTTCTACGTTTTGCTCGTGCCATCATCTTGTCAGCGTGCATCTTACAGTAGGCAAAGAACGGATCTGCAATGTCCTACAAAATGGCAAAATTGGAATAAATAAAGTAATTTCTATGACATAACAAATAGACACGAAAGGAACAAGTACCAAGTATAAGTTGTTTCTGAGAACACCCTCTCCAGCTACAACAGATTCAAATGAACATGGTCAAAGAAAATAATTTAACATTTTACATCATGAATATTCTATTATCACAATTTACCAGTCAGTCTCCAATAATTTCTAGAGAAATTTGAATGAGTGGAATGTTGAAATTTATCCCTCAATGGCAAAAAAAGAGTGGGTATAAGTTCAGAAAGTTTTACAATTAAAAAAAAAAAAAACTTTTACTATATACTGACAAATCTTTTTGTATCATTAACATTTAAGAGGAAAGCTAGTGGTGGTATGGTATGACAAGGTTTTCTTGAATTACCATGCACTCCTCTGGAGCAGCCTCGGACAGCAAACCTTCCTTCTGGGCACTGAAACAGGACACGGTATCAACATACAGAGAGATGTTATATAACTAACAGTATACTTTACAAAGGTTTTTTAAAACAGTTCATTAACCCTTTCACCACTGTAGACCGTAATGGACTCATCCATATGGATACATGGTAGAGTCTACTGAAGTTACAGAGGGGTGAAAGGGTTAAGGTTATTTCTAGGTTTATTTAGGACCAGGAAAATAGGAATTCCGAATAGAAATGTCGGATAAATCTGAATTTAAGGCTCAATCTGTTCAATTAGCGGCCAGCTCCATCAACATCTCAACACACTACATTAAGGAACACTATCCCTCTGCACTGGTTCTTCATATATTCAATAAATTCCTTTTAATTTTGTTTTGGATATAAGCACAGTTGGGCCAGGACCCTTCTGTAGACCAGGTAGCTCAATCAGATATAGCAACAGTATAACAATCTGAAGCCCTGAGTTCATATCCAAGTTGAGTTCCTCTGAACTTTTACACTCATAACACAGCTACTGTTTGTTTTTTATATCGTCTTATTATTTTTTTCATTTCAAGTCCCACAAGGCATGTTTCTCTATTCAGAAAGGATTTATCAAAGCTATAGTAATGCTGGAAAAAAACAATGTCAAATGTGTAGTTGCAGTTTTTTGGCAGTAGTTATGGATCCTTAATATGAATTTCCTGTAAAAGTGAAATCAAAGCTGAGCAGTGCTTTGAAGACAGACAACAAAAAAAGGGATGCATAATTCTTGTACTTACCATGTGACATGGAAGTAAGTCCTGCACATGCCCGCATCACAGCTAATACACACGCCCGTTCTGCTAAACCGTGCATCTTCACACAGCGAACATTCCTGTAACAGAACAGACTCAGTCAAGTACAGCATCTCACAGGGCAAAGCTCTAGATCAATCTGCATTCACAAGGGACAGCTGTATCCAATGGTTATTTTTCTGTTGCCATGCCACTTAGACAAATTTTATCTATGTAACTTTGTATATCTTGAATATTCTGTACCTCTTGTAGTCTTTTCTTTGTCTAAGGCAGCTAGCTTGTATATATATTTCACACATAGATACATGTACATGTAACTCGAAATCTCCAGTTATTTTTAGGACTCTTCTTAGTTTAAATGACTTTCACATTACTAAATGTTTACTAACTGCACCCATCTGTAGGAGAAGGACAGGGTAACAGACCTGATTTTTCTATACTAACCCGTGTACCTCACATGGAGTAGGGCATTTCAAACAGGGTAACAGACCTGATTTTTCTATACTAACCCGTACACCTCATCTGGAGTAGGGCATTTCAAACAGGGTAACAGACCTGATTTTTCTATACTAACCCATACACCTCATCTGGAGTAGGGCATTTCAAACAGGGTAACATACCTAATTTTTCTATACTAACCGATGCACCTCACATGGAGTAGGGCATTTCAAACAGGGTAACAGACCTGATTTTCTATACTAACGCCTGCACCTCTTCTGGAGTAGGGCATTTCAAACAGGGTAACAGACCTGATTTTCTATACTAACGCCTGCACCTCACCTTTGAGTAGGACATGTATTTCAAACAGGGTAACAGACCTGATTTTTCTATACTACCCCATGCACCTCACCTTGAGTAGGGCATTTCAAACAGGGTAACTGACCCAATTTTGTCTATACTTACCCGTGCACCCCACCTGGAGTAGGGCATTTCAAACAGGGTAACAGGGCTGAGTTTGTCTACGTCTCCAAATGCTACTCCAGGAGTGTATAGAGCACAAACCAGGTGAACCCACCTGGGAAAGGGAAAACAACAGATATACACATGATTCGTTTCTCATCCTTAATTCAATATGCATTCACAAAATTTGAGGTATCTTTACCACACCTAAAATAAAATTCCAGGAGCTAACTTTACAAATATTTACAGCTATTTCAGACACTCTCAGTCATTCATTATCAGCTACTTGTACATGAATTATAAGTGCCTTATTTCCTCTTAACTATTAAAACCATTACATACTTACTACTTATAATACCAAGATATTTTCTCCATAGCCAGACACAGGCAAAATAATTTGGTCAATATCTAAAACATAATCTGTTTTGTCTGCTTTAACTGGCAAATGGAACTCGCTAAAAAAAATGGAATACCTGAAGATTTGTTCAAATAGTGCCAAGTGGGAAAAAAACTGAATTTGTATCTGGAAAGATTGTTTAAGCAAAAAATAAATAAAAAAAAGTGAAAGTATGAACCAGAGAAAAACTAATCTATTTCTCTAGCTTTTTACTTATAGATTCCTGTCTTATCCAAGAAATCCCTGGATTACACAGGGTGTCAGAAAGAACAGGTTTTTCTTTACTTACTTCCCAGCATCTGTTTCTTTGAATATCCCACCAGGGTTTGGACAAAGTTCACATGTCTGAATAAGGCAAATGTCATGATCAGACAGCATTATTTTCTGGTTAAAATCGTGGTAAAGTTTTTAGAAACAATAATGAATTGCCATCCAATGACTCAAAAGCATAACCAATCAACAAATAAAGTATGGCCCTGAAATCTGATAAAATCGAAATGAAATCTGACAACAGGGCTCAGATCTGACAAGCATCTGAAATCAGACATGGACCTGAAATATGACAACACTGACTTGAAATTGGATGGCATGGGCCTGAAATCGGACAGTGAACATGCTTAACATGGCTATATTCTGTATATGGCTATATTGTTGTGTATTTCTTAATACTATAGATTTCTTTTGTTGTATATTCTGTATGAGATTTCCCTTTTGCTGTGTATTTCGTATGCATTTTCCAAATTCCCTATATTGGGTATTTCGTATACATTTTCCAAATTCCCTTTATTGGGTATTTCATATGAAGTTTCCAAATTCCCTATACTCTGTATTTCGTATGAAATTTCCAAATTCCCTATATTGGGTATTTTGTATGAAATTTCCAAATTCCCTATATTGGGTATTTCGTATGAAATTTCCCAATTCCTGATATTGTTTATTTTGTATGGAATTTTGAAGTTCCTTAAATTGTTTTTTTTGTATGAAATTTCCAAATTCCTTATATTGTTTATTTTGTATGAAATTTCCAAATTCCTTATATTGTGTATTTTGTACAACATGAACTTACAGGTTTACAATCTGCCTTACAGGCATCACAGAACCAGGGCTCTGTGCTCGCCGACGACTCTGTGCTGGCGTTGGACTGGTTTTCACTGATTCCATAGCAACCTTAAAGTATATAAATACATCGCTATATATTAATAATGGAAACTAGACGGAGAAAAAAACCAGTAGAAGAATCTCTTGTTAATGGATGTTTTATGAAAACAATTCCTTGAACTATTCATCTGGACCCAACAAGTTCAAGTCAACAGGTTTTAACTTTCAAACTGATAAACTACACTCTGTTAAATCTACAAAGTCAAGCTTTATTCTTTAACTTATTCACCCCTGAAATTTCATAATGAACCATTCCAACCTTTGAATTGGAAGAGTTCAAAGGTGTCCTCAAGGGTGAATGAGTTAAGAAGAGAGTATTGACGAATTGGCTCATCCACAAATTATGAAATAGGAACCTACATGTATATACAGTAATAAGTGCAATTGTAATTTAGCGCAATATTTAAAGCACGGAAAAAATGATAAAATTAGATACCACTAAAATATGTTTGTTTACATTATTTACCTTCATGGACAGACACTCCACAGTTATCACACTCAACGATCTCATCATCCTCTTCACTGTAAAACAATAAACCATTTTAGATTCATTTTAAGATTTCTTCTTTTCTTTTCTTTCAATTTGAAGGTGTTATAGCAAGAAATCCTATATCCTAAATGTCATGTGATAGATGTTAGCGAGATATGCTTACATAATGGGCATATATAAATATCTCTAAAAATACTTATAATATTGATATATGCTAATAGGAGTAACAAGGTTTATTTCATAATTTTGAAGAATTAAGGATTATTCCATACATGAATAGGAAGTGGGGTTGGGTATTGGAGGGATTTATCTCTGAAAAACTAGAGAAACTGCTCACAAAGATATACCCCCACTTCATCTTATTTTATAGTGGTTTTCCCTGGTGCTTTCTCTCTTCATGCACATCTTCATATGATGTACTTTTACTGTGCCAAGTTAAAAATCCAAGTAACAGTTATGGAGGAGTTGCGCTTACAAAGTTTCTGGAGCAGAAAGTTTTAAGTTTCAAGGGCCATATATTCAGAAAAACAAGAGTTGAATCGGAAATTCCTTTCTTCATGCACATGTACCTTCACTATGAAATTATCCAGCAAACAGCTTAGGAGGAGTTGTGTTTACAAGGTTCATGGACAGACAGGTGGACAGATAGATGGACAGACCGTTATTCTGACATACCCCCAACTTTGTTTGCAAAGTATTTATATCATGGTCCCCCGTATAAAAAAACCATTGTAAGTGTTGGTTTTACATAATTTTCTCCCTCCCTTCTTTAGCCAACATTTGTTCAGGTTATACTATATAATTTTTGAAAAAAATGCTGACTTTTTCTAGTATTTAGGAGAGCTGCTAAATTCTCTAAAATTACAACAATATCAAATTTATTCCTCGCTTGGTGACAATATGACCCTTTCAATTCTGATTTTCGTAGCATTACCTAATATTTCTGAGGCAGACACAGCAGATAGTAACACGGATCTGATTTTCGTAGCATTACCTAATATCTCCGAGGCAGACACAGCAAATAGTAACACGGATCTGTTTGTGTCGGTAGAGGGTATACACACTGCTGCCCGCCAAGCTGCTAGACTGTAAAACAAATCAAATATTATCAAATGGACAATAGGACCTACAATGTAAATTCACTATATAGATGTGAATTTTTCTAGGTCGTAAAAAGTAAGATTTTTTTAATTCTCAAATCCTTTGTGTGATTTTAATTTTCTGCATTACTGGTAGACTTAAAACATGGAGACTGCTTAAAGGTATCACTACAGCTGACATAGGGTTTGCGTAAAGATAAACCAAAAAGGGCTATCATATGTTAAGGCATTATATAGGGGTCACAAGCAGATTGTAAGAAGGCAACAAAAGAGACTCACATAGAGATTGTATACGACATGAATTATAAGGGCATGTTGATTATATAACAGCATCAAAAAGGCATACATAGAGAGTGTGTAAAGACATCAAAATGGGCAGAATTGGAAACTGAGCAAAGGGTCTTGAAATAGGCTTACTCAATGACTGTAAGGGAATTTAAAAAGAGTCGCATACAGCTGGCTTTGAGTGTAGGAAGTATGGACGGACAACGGACAGACCTTGGACGGTATTTTGATCAACCCACCATCAAATTAAATTAAATTTATGGTAGGCTAAAAAGAGATTTAGGTAAATAGAGCTCGTGAAAAGGAACGAAAATGGACTTACAGCATGCAGAGCTAAAAGATAATGCTGCTAAGCTAAGATCCAGAATTGTTCATACCTCAACTATTCCATTTCCACTTGTGCTGGGAACCACTTCCTGTTTGGTGTCACTGACAGACTGGACCTCCAGACCTGCGGTCTTTATGTCGGGTCCTTCAGCGACATGCTTATGTTCTTTGGGATATTCTTCTTCGTCTTCACTAGAGGAGTCGCTATCGTCATCGTCATCATCGCTATCGTCCTCATCGTCATCTTCGTTGTTGTCTTCCTTATCGCTGAGCTCAGCAGCGTCCGAATCATCTGAGCCTACAACATGTGAACTCGGGTTTAGTCATAAAATCTCATCTCCCTCCAATTGCTTCTCACGTCAACCCAATCAACGATTTCACTACTTCTAGTGGAAGATACTGATTAATATGGAATGACGAGACAGAGATACACTTTTTTATGACAAATATTGATCGCAATGATCTTTCCCCTTATGACCACTATTCAAATTCTTACAATTATTTTACACCTCACCACGCAAATATTATCCATCTTAACCAGACTCCCTGCCTGCATACATATTATTATATAAACTATAGAACAAATGTCACTCCAAGTCCCAATATTTTGGCCTCCTGGCTTGATTCAAGTATTAACCTTCATCTTGCTTTTCTGAGTTCACACTTGAAATAGCCCTTTATTGTAGATACGTATATCAAACCTTTGTGATGTTTTTCCACATCAAAGTCGCTATCGTCATCACTGTCGTCTCCCCCTCCAAAATCCACCTGTATGAGATGACGCTGCACTGGTTTCACTCTACGTTTCTTCGGATCTCGTTGTACTAGAACACATGTATAAACCTCTTTTGTTAAAACAACAAACAAACAAAAGAATTTGAAGAAACAAATTATCGTCATAATGAGTAAAATCCCATCAAAACAGAAATGATATTCTCAAACATTACTGACTAAAAAAATATCTTTATACAAAAAAATAAATATATGATATAATTAAGACTGTTATAACCAAACACAACTTTAGTAGTAATAAATGTTCAAAATGAAAATATTATTATTAAATACAGGTGGTCAATGTTAGAGCTAAGTATAGCCCAAGTTTCCTCTGGCCCTAACACCAGACTTAGACAGTTTGACAGATAGATATCTGGTATGGGGCCAGAACGCACTGCTATATGAAACAAGAGGCCCAAGGGCCTTAGCGGTCACCTGAGTTATATCATAGGTACTGGTAGCTTTATTTTAGTGTTTAGATGTGATGTGGAAATCAGCATGTAAACTAAGTGAAATACAATACTTGTCATGTCATCAAAGGATAAGAATTTTAAAATATTTGTAAATGTTCCCTTTGGGGCCCCGCTCTAACCCCTGGGGACGGAGCAGGAATCCTAAGTTTACAATTTGATACCGTCGTCCACCAAAGATGATTCTGACCAAGTAAAAATAATTTCCAACAGAAAATTGTCAAAATATACCCAAAAGTGGTGTTTCCCTATATAAACTATAGTAAACTTTACCCCCTCCCCAAGGGAGAACGGATAGCTCGGGGGTCCTGAAATTTACAATTTAAATAAAGCCCCTGATGGTCTTTCCATCCATTCAGAGAAAATGACTGTAATACCTCTGAGTCTGGAGAATAAGATTTTTGAAATATTGGTTAATTTTCCCTTTGGGGCCCCGCCCTGGCCCCTAGGGTTCGGTTAGGAATTCCAATTTCACAATTTAAAACCATCTTCCTTGAAGGATAATTCTCACCAAGTAAGAATAATTTCCAACAGAAAATTGTCAAAATATACCCAAAAGTGTTGTTTCCCTATATAAACTGTAGTAAACTTTACCCCCTCCCCAAGGGAGAACGGATAGCTCGGGGGTCCTGAAATTTACAATTTAAATAAAGCGCCTGATGGTCTTTCCATCCATGCACAGAAAATGACTATAATACCTCTGAGTCTGGAGAATAAGATTTTTGAAATATTGGTTAATTTCCCCTTTTGGGCCCCACCCTGGCCCCTAGGGTTGGGGTAGGAATTCCAATTTTACAATTTGGTAGCCTCATCTACCAAGGATGATTCTGACCAAGTTTGAAAAAATTCCATCCACTGGTTCTTGAGAAAAAGTTGATAATGTAAAAAGTTTAAGCACGACGGACGACGACGGACAGAAAGTGATTGGAATAGGTCACTTGAGCAAAGCTCAGGTGACCTAATAATTTATTATCCAATAAATCCAATAATTTATCCTTGAATATGCATCGTTTTAATTCTAGAGGTGATTAATTTTTATGTTCAGAAAACATCAGAGGACGGATTTTAAACTCAATTATGTTATGTTGCGTCATTCAAAAATGGCCCATGGGAAGACTATACATTTTGTTTTGGACTGCAGGAATAAATTAAGAATATAGAAATAATTGAATTCATTCAAATTCCAAAGACCATATTAAAATGCTGACAAAGAAAGGTTCATTTGAAGCGCAAAATATTGCAAAATTCATGCTGTGACCCTTTTTGGGTACTAGGACATTGCAAAAAAAAGAAAACAACGAAAAAGTTAATTGTGACATCAGATCGAGCGTTCTATGAATACTTTCTGTTTTGCTTTTTTGTATATATATCAATCTTTGTGAGAGAAATGTTTGTTATTAGATTTGGATTTGAAGTGAAAGTGAGTAAAAACCACTCAGAATCTTATTTCTCAATACTAAACAGCCAAATATGGGTCAATTCCCCTCTCCAATTTTGTCGTTGTTTTCTCCAATTTTGTCGTTGTTTTCCCCTATTTCAGTTAAAAATATCTCCACTTGTAACTTTAATACTACCACATGAATATCTGTCTTGGCTTCATTTTGTTTTTATTTTCCTTCAGTTCCATGACTGAGTGTTATGTTTACTACACTGTTTACAGCTAGTCCTGTTTACGGCAAAATAAATATCATAATAGTCACACATCGATGGTCAATTCAAAGCATCAGTATATTGAACGAATTACAGGTGTTTTGCCCCAAAACCGTCATGCCCCAACTTTTTTTCAGTTCAGTTCGCCCTAAAAGCTATATCGCCCCGACTGCTACGAACTTATGTTGAACGATAAAAGGCAATTCATGGGAGGTAACTGTTTCAATATAAGAGCTGTGACTATTTCCTTGTCAATAATAATTATTCATTTTTGTTTCGAATACCTAATATTCAGTCTGGTCTAGCTGATTTTGTGAAGGTGTCAGTAATTATTGCCAGTTTCACTTAAATACAATGTATCACTGATTAGGAAAATTTACCTCAAGACTCAATTGGCATCTTTTTGTATTTGTTTTAATGGTCTTGTAATGTTTTTGTTAAATATTAATTGTTTTGATGACTTACAGTTTGCATGTTGATCATGAAAAAGATCGTCAGTAAATTATATTTTTGAAAAGTAAAAAGATATGCCAATGATGCCAATTGAGTTTCTGCCCTTCATATTACATGATAAGCATTTTTGCCCAGGCTTCATCAATGGATATTATAGATATGATACGTTAGTGATCTACGACACGCGTGGAAATAATCTAATTATCTTACGCATATATATATATGTATCATCTAAAACATACAAATACATGCCTTACATAGATATTGTAGATATCTTTTACATACACAGTGTTTACGTCATCTTAATTAAACATGTTATAATCTAACGATCTGTATATTTTACTATCTTTTATCCATTTAGAAATCTGAATATTATTGTATAAATATATATAAATTAAAGATAATTATTAATTACTTACAACAACAACACGGTAAACACAATCACATAATTATTAAACTCTGAATTTCCCAAGAATATGGGAAAATAAGCAAGCTACTTTTTTGGGGAGGCGTTATATTTTTGGTCGAACTAGTTAGGGCGCCATAGTTTTTTGGGGCAAACTATTTGGGGCTTTGTGGTTTTTTTGGGGCGAACTGGTTGGAGCGATATGAATTAAATTTGGGGCGTTACGGTTTTTAGGGCGAAACATCTAACACATCAGGGATAGTATATAGGTCCCTGCCCATATTGAACAGCTAGAAACAAAAAATAAAGATGCCATAAATGCCCCCCTCTAGTACTCTCCCTCTAGCCTGAAGCCCTGTCTGGACAAGACATGCATGTACAGTGCATATTGTCTCCTATTTCAAAAAAGGGTACTAACTTTCTATTCTTTCATTGAACCCTGAATCAGGTCCAGTACACTCAGCCGATTGAGCTATATAGCTGTAAAGACTTATAATAGCTCTATTGACCTATCTGAAATAGGTCTTTTGAGCTATTTTCAACTGATTTTCTTTTTTAAAAAAAACGAAACAAAGTCGGTTTTAAAAGAAGATTGTATCATTAGGTTGATAACAAAAGACGTTAAATATAAGTATGCTTTTTAAAAAATAATGATGTAAAAAAATCGGAAATTTCACATCTATGAAAAATGAAAAAAAACATCTAACTGTATGCTCTTTGTAGTCAACATTACCATAAACCTTATTGTTTTATGCGACTTTGCTTTAATTTAATGAAATTTGAAATCTAAGAAAATATAGCTCAATACAGCTATAATTTATAGGTGTATACAGCTATATATAGAGAATAATACATGCCTCTTTCCATATCACACCCAGTATCAACCCGAGACTGCAATATCAGCCCAAGGGCCGAAGGCCCGAGGGCTGATATTAGTCGAGGGTTGATACTGGGTGTGATATGGAAAAAGTGATGTTTTATTCTGTTTATTACATACTTACTAATAAAAGCTACTATCTTATGATAAATTTTTCTTTTGAAATATTGAAAAACGAAAAAAAAATNAAAAAACAAAAAAAAAAAAAAAAAAAAGGTGTAGAAAAAGTCATGATTTATTCTGTTTATTACATACTTACTAATAAAAGCTACTATCTTACGATAAAAAAAATTCTTTTGAAATATTGAAAAACGAAAAAAAATCAAAAAGGGGTGTGATACGGGTTTTGCGGGCTGATACGGGGTTTTGCGGGCTGATACGGGTTTTGGGGTGTGATACGGCGGGGGCTGATACGGCTTTTGGGGTGTGATACGGCGAGGGCTGATATGTGTAAGAGTAATTGTGTCGTATCGCATATACAAAAAAACTGTATTTATTAGTAAGTATGTAATAAAGGTATTTATAGCTATATAGCTCAATCAGCAGAGTGCACTGGACCTGTGAATCACTTATTGGTTGTGCTAAATGAATCTTTTCACAATTACATGCCCTACACTTGAAATGGTGGGAGTGGTGTGGTATGTTTTAATTGTACATAGGATCACGGTCGGCTATACACTTCGCACTAAATCCTCAAGGAGAAATTCTCTTTAGCGCAAATGGAATACGGCTGACTAGGAGGTTGGGAAGCCCAAGTTGGGGGTGGCTGGTTCGATACCCAGTGGAAGCGCACTAATCTCTTTCAAGTTACAAATGTAACGACTGGTGTCACTTAACTTTAACATTGAATATACCGATTTCAAATATCTTACACATTGTCCTGTATAAAAATTCCACACTAGGGTCAACCTCTTCCAGCTCCATATTGTGTTCAGCCATGTTTCAAGCTGATGAAGATGCCAGTACTGAAAATATTGAATCAATTGTGCGCGGCGCTTGAAATTGAAAGAAAATCTACGTCTCAAACACGCTTGATAATTATACTCTCAAAACATTGTAAATATGCATAATTTGCAAATAATCCCACATTTCTGACAAAAAAGCGAATAATTGTATTGAAACAATATTTCCATAAGAAAATTACATTAAATTATGAGCATCAGATAATTACGGATTCGGGTTTGGAAATAGTAAATTTAATAGAGAGTATAGGTCGCCATTTTTGGCTAACACAGGCAGCTGAACATGGTGCATCTGACGAAACTCTTACGCCATGGCGGTCCTACGCCGTATTATCCCAATCCCAGACTAATGGTTGGGACTGGAAAAGAAGTGTTAAACAAGGAGAGCCATTACTACCCTGTAAGTGTTAAGGAAAATATTATATTGTAGTTTTCCGTAGGTAACCCTGATTTGTACATGGCCAATGTCACTGACAAGTGGACATTGACTACAGTAACAATAAGATACAATTGTCCAGTCTTTATTAAGAATGTTGTTCACATACCAAATTGTTTTTAAGTTCCTAAAATCTAGAGAAAAAAATGTCAATTTGTTCATCATTGAAATAATCTCACAAATCGTTGTTTTGCTAAGGAGTGATGACCTTCAAGTTCAAGATTTTGATCTATCCTCCTTATGAGGAACTATCCCTCGGGTCGTTTGAGGGATAGCCTTGTTGACAAGCTACTATCGTCAAACAGAGGTCGTTCTGGAAGCACATTCACCACAATGGGTAATAATCTTGCGGTTGAGTAACATTGAATGTTTTAATACAATAAAGTACCGAAGCAACTCAAAAACTTGCCCGTAATTGTGATGTAGGTTAGTTCTTGCTCTCACTCAGTAATAACAGTCTCGGGCCGTCATCTGTCTGTCAGGTTTCCCCCAGCGCGTGCCAAAATCTCGCAGTCTCTCATTCTAAGGTCGCCCACCTACATAACACACACACACAATGGGGACCCCGGCCAACATTCACAACAACAGTAACAATGTTGCTACTTAAACTTATAAATAACATTAAAATGAAAACATGTTAAATTATTTTAAACATGGAGAGTAAGAAAGAGCTTCACTATTTGAATATATTCCAATAAATACAAAAATGAGGTGCAATTGCAGTGCCCGCATTTACGAACACTTTTTCAGATTTGGCGACATAAAATGCAGTTTGGCGATATTCTTTGGCGACACAATTTTTACCTCAAAAACCAAAATACCTTGGATGATGATATTTGAGTAGGATGAAGGGCTACCAAGTTTGTTCAAACAAATGACCTTCACTCATTTTCAAGGTCACAGGGGTCAAATATGTTTAAAACCTTAAACAACTTCTTCTCGATAACCAAAAGGCCTAGGATGTTGATATTTGGCCCATAACATGCTAAGATGAAGGGCTACCAAGTTTGTTCAAACAAATGACCTTCGCCCATTTTAAAAGTCACAGCTAGAGGTCAAATATATTTAAAACCTTTAAACAACTTCTCAATAACCAAAAAGCCTAGGATGATGATATTTGGCCAGTCGCATGCTGAGTTAAAGGGAAACCAAGTTTGTTCAAACAAATGACCTTCACTCATATTCAAGGTCACAGGGATCAAATATGTTCAACTCTTTCCGTGCGGGAAACGAGAAAACTTGTCCTGGACATTTTGCTTCGAGACATGGGAAACGCGATTTCTCGTTTTGGAAAACCCCTTTGTCCCACGTCATCGTATTAATAGCTATCGACCGTGAACCAATTAAATCACTTGTCAGGGGGATTCTATGTACATGTCATATCATTTCTGTGCGTTGATTAGTCAGTTACAAGGTTAGCAAAGGTCATATTAAAGGCAATTCATAAAACGAAAGAAAATGGCAGACCAACAATTTTTAGCTCACCTGGCACAAATTAAAAGTGCCAAGTGAGCTTATGCCGTGGCCCGGCGTCAGTCCGTCTGGCGGCAATATTTTACTTTAAATGACTTCTTCTTAATAACTGAAAGGCCTAGGGTGTTGATATTTGGCCAGAAGCAAAATGGGATGAAGGGCTACAAAGTTTGTTAAAATTAATTACCTTCACCCATTTTCAAGGTCACAGGGGTCAAATATGTTAAAAAATTTAAACATCTTCTTAATAACCGAACTTCCGAGGGAGATGATATTTGGCCAGTAGCATGCTTGAGTGAAGGGCTACCAAGTGTGTTCAAATGAATGACCTTCAATTATATTCAAGGTCACAGGGGTCAATTGTCTTAAAAAAACACTTTAAACAACTTCTTCTGAATAACCAAAATGCCCAGGGTAATGATATTTGGCCCTTAGCATGCTGAGATGAAGGGCTTCAAAGTTTGTCCAAACAAATGACCTTCACTCATATTCAAGGTCACAGGGGTCAAATATGTTAAAAACTTTAAACAACTTCTTCTGAATAACCAAAATGCCCAGGGTAATGATATTTGGCCCTAAGCATGCTGAGATGAAGGGCTTCAAAGTTTGTTCAAACAACTGACCTTCACCCATATTCAAGGTCACAGGGGTCAAATATGTTAAAAACTTTAAACAACTTCTTCTGAATAACCAAAATGCCCAGGGTAATGATATTTGGCCCTTAGCATGCTGAGATGAAGGGCTTCAAAGTTTGTTCGAACAACTGACCTTCACCCATATTCACGGTCACAGGGGTCAAATATGTTAAAAACCTTAAACAACTTCTTCTGAATTTGGCCTGTAGCATGCTGAGATAAAGGGCTACACAATATGTTCAAATAAATGACCTTCACCCATATTCAAGTTCACATGGGTCAAATATGTTAAAAACTTTAAACAATTTCTTCTGAATAACCAAAATGCACAGGGTGATGATATTTGGCCAGTAGAATGCTGAGATGAAGGGCTACAGAGTTTGTTCAAACAAATGACCTTCACCCATATTCAAGGTCACAGGGGTCAAATATGTTAAAAACTTTAAACAACTTCTTCTGAATAACCAAAAGGCTCAGGATGTTGATATTTAGTCAGATCAAGGACTACTATGTTTGTTAAAGTGAATGACTTTGACTTAATTCAAGGTCACAGGGGTCAAATTTGTTTAAAATCTTTAAACAACTTATCCTCAATAACCAAAATGCCCAGGGTGATGATATTTAGTCAGTAGCATACTAGGATCAAGGGCTACCAATAAAGTTATTGAAACAAACAGTATTTTTTTTACCAATGTAGGGCTAATCGCGGCATAAATCGGAATCAATTTGCCCGTATGAATCTTTGTTTATATTTGACCTATCTTGTCGGGACCACGTCGATTCGGGTCCGACATGTCAGCCACGGAACTCGAATAATTATTTTGCCTGACAATTTTCACTGGAATTGTTGAGAGATCTTTTCTTTATAATTATTGACAACAGATTCTTTTATAGACACCCAAGTTTTTGTGACCAAAATGACAGCAAAAACACGTAGCATTGACTTACCTGTTATTAACACACCTGCATGGTTATATGTATATAAAATGACTGATTGAACTTATATCAAATAAACATCAATATAATATGAAAGTGTGTGAATGTCTTTATTTTAAAAATATGAACAAACGATGAGCTATTATCAATGGACAAGACACTGAACATTTTACTTTGAGTTCACCTGTCTTACCTGGGCATTTATAAGCTGTATAGGAGCAGGTAATGTCATAGTTATTAAGTATGATATAAGAATAAGAGTTATTTGTCATCAAATGTCAACATGTACTGCATTCTAATGAAAATTAAAGGGAATAACAAAGAAATTCTATTAATTATCAAATATTTTACCTGTCCCTCACCTGTTCAGGTAATTATAGGAAATTTTTAAAAAATGTCCAAGATTAATTAGATAGGTCTTGATACAAGGTTCCTAAAACATATAGGTTTTGAATAGGTATGAGCTACATAAATGCCAATAAAGTAGGTTTTAAAATTGAAATGATTTTAATTAAATATCTTCAAATTCAGTGGGAGCATTGTTTACTAATTTACTAATTTCCAAGAGACCCATGGTTATCCTGTTTTGCCAGTTACATGCTGGGATAAATGACTACCAAGTTTGTTCAAATGAATGACCTTTACTTCTATAGTCAAGGTCACAGGGGTCAAATATATTTAAATCCTTATAACAACTTCTCAAGAACCAAAATACCTAGGATGATGATATTTAATCAGTAGCATGCTTTAAGGATAAAGGGCAACAAAGTTTGTTCAAATGCGGGACCTTCGCTCATATTCAAGGTCACAGGAATCATCATCAAATATGTTAAAATCTTTAAATGACTTGTTCTGAATAACCAAAAGGTCCAGGGTAATGATATTGGGCCTGCATAAAAAAAGCATGCTGGGATGGAAGGCTATAACTCCACTTAATGTCCTAGGCCTTGTTCGACTATATATCAAGGTCAAAGGTGTGATATGTGTTAAATTTTTGCCTGTAGCTGTATATTAGTCTTCTTTTAAGATTAAAAGAGATTGTGAAATTAATACCAGGTTAGCGATTCAGGCCCATTGGGCCTCTTGTCATAATTATGGGAAACACAGCTGATTTTTTGACATAATGTATTAAATGGCCTTCATATTAATTGCCTCTAATCATTTAGTTGTCAAATATTAAACCTTTGTTTTTGTTTCAGCTCCTGCCTGTCCACGCAGTTACTATCGGAGGCTGCATTATTTGTGCATTATATATGGGCAGATCTCTAATCTTCGGTTCAGATGTCAAGTAAGTATATATGATCCTTTCATGCATATTGAGAAATTGAACATATTGGCCATTTCAAGTCGTCTAACCCAAAGGTCAAAGTGAGCTTATGCCAGGGGGTCGTTTATTCATCCAGCTTTTCAGGTCACCTGAGCTTTAGCTCAAGTGACCTATTGCTATCCATCGTCGTCCTTCGTCTTTTAACATTTTACATTTTCAACTTAAGCTGAAATACTGGCAAAGGGATTTCATTCATATTTCATGGGAATGTTACTGACATCTCCCTGACCAAGTGTTGTTATTTTTCGGGTCGATCAGAAATCAAATATGGATGCCATTTTGAAAAACTATTTCCAACTTAAAGTCAAGTTCTGCTAGGCCGATTGAACTGAAACTTTGTAGGATGATCAACTCATGGTCCTGACAAAGTGTTGTTATTTTTCGGGACGATCAGAAATCCAATATCGCCGACACGGCCGCCAATTTGAAAAAACAATTTCAAACGTAAAGTCAAGTTCTGCTGGGCCGATTGAACTGAAACTTGGTGTCGGAATGGTCAGCTCATGGTCCTGACAAACTTAAGTATCCGTTATACTTAACTATTTTTTACTCAAATTGGTACATATTTCAACAACAAGAATGAATACTGTAGGACTCAGGTGACCGTTAAGGCTGATGGGCCTCTTGTTAGATCACCTGAGCGTTGCTCAAGTGACCTTTATACTGATCGCTTTCCGTGCTTCGTGCTCTAATATTTTACATTTTCGACTTCTCAAGTAACCAGAAGATCAAAATTTTTCATACTTGGTCAGAATCATCCTTGGTAGATGTGGCTACAAAAATATATAATTGGGATTCCTACCCAAAATTAACCAATATTTCAAAAACTTCTTCTCCAGACTTGAAGGTATTACATCCGTTTTCTCTGCATGGAAGAAAATCATCAGGGGCTCTATTTAAATTGTAAATTTTCAGGACCCCCAAGCTTTCTATTCTCCCTTGGAAAGGGGGTAATTAAGTTTACTATAGTTTATATAGGGAAATAACTCTTTTGGCTATATTTTATCCATTTTCAGCAGAAAATTACTCAAACTTAGTTAGAATCATCTTTGGTGAATGCGGGTATTGCATCAGGGCTCACGCTGTGGGTAGCCAAAGTAGAAATTTGCTACTTTTATTTTTTATTGGCTACTAAAAATTTGATGTGGCTACTAAATTGACTACTAAGTTTTTAAAATTGGGGACAATCTGGATTTTGGTCCCAGAAAACGATCCGTCTACTCAAGTGTGTATTGTGGCCGACACTGATTGCGTAAACATAACCAGGGTCGTCGCAGATCGGCGCGCACTGTACTACTGCGAGTTAATAACCTAATGCTTTTGTCTAAGTTGTAAAGTCAATTTAATATCAAGCTTCAGATGGCAACGGGTGTTATAATTCTTGTACAATAATGGACAGTGGGGTCAAGTTAATTGGATGACCCATTGACGTTGAGAAAACAGTCTGATAAGCGAGTTACATATATAGGTGGTCTCGCACACGTACATTTGACGGTGCCGTAAGCCGTTCAGTTCAACTAGTTCCTTCAAACACCCCGCATCCAACAAGTTTATAGGTTCAGTAACATTGTAAAATTGGGATTCCTGCCCCATCCCCAGGGGCTAGGGCGGGGCTCTAAAGGGAACATTTACCAATATTTTCAAATTCTTATCCTTTGATGACATATCAAGTATTGTATTTCACTTAGTTTACATGCTGATTTCCACATCACTTCTAAACAATAAAATAAAGCTACCAGTATTTATGATATAACTCAGGTGATCGCTAAGGCCCTTGGGCCGCTTGTTTGTTCCTCCACCTCATTATAGAGTGAATAAAACCAACCAACATCAGGTGGTGGGTTATTCAAATTTCTATGTCAGTGGGGCCTCCTGTTAACAATTCCTGATATCGCTATTCATCACAAAGAAATAGATGGGCCTTCCTCAAAATTAGATTGGTTCCACTTGGCACATATTTTAGCCTGTTTTCATTTAGAGACTGATCATGATCAGAGAAAGAAGCCTGGCACCAGGCAGCTCTCTCAGACTTTGATGTAAAGTTTGTTATCAGTATTTCTCGGGAGTAGAGATTCCTCTGAAACTTTTAGCACACTATATTCAGTGTTCAATCTAGGATTGCTGCCAAGAGGGCCCATTTGGTGGGATTGGCTCACCATTTCGAAAAGAGAGGGCCGTTTGGAAGAAATCGGGGCTAATGAAAATTACAATTATGTACATAGCAAAAAACAATTATTAATCTTTTCAACCTTGTCTTTAATAACTGTTATTTGTACTAAAGTAAATGTTAAACAACAATTGTAATGTCCTTGGATTTTTTTATTTTTTTTTCGTTTCTCGGATGCTCTGTCATTTGACTAATTTTCCTCAGACTTTTTGTCACTGTTGTGACTCAATGAAGGACCCGAGTGAAGCGTGAAGTCCTCATGCTTGAGTGCACTGCAAGATGTTTCGTCTTCGCTTAAGAAGTTTCACTTCATTTTTTCACAAGGCTGTTGGTAGCCTAGCAGACATACTTCCCATGTCACATAGATGTTTGCATTTTACATTGAAAGACCCGAAATGTGTTTGAAAAGAGCTTAAGTGATGACGATTAATAGGTGTTTTTAGACATAATGTATTTCTCTTGAACAGCATTTTGTTTCCAACTTACGATGTTTGTACATTGTATTTCTAATTTGACGAAAAGTGAAGGTTTTGATTAAAAACCAGGGAGAATCAGGGGTGAGATTTAAATGTGCTGTAGCGGCCCATCAATGGTTTATAATTGCACCAAATGAATTCCAAAGGGGTCATTGAGGCCATGGTGCGGCCTAGATTGTTCACATTGCCCATTGTCTGCGGTCAGATTGGCCATTCTTGAACCATGTCTTGAACTTTTTGTGGAAGTCATCAATTAGTGGACAGATCTTTCTGATCTGTATCCAAGTTTACTCTTGGTGCTTTTAGCTCACCTGCCCATGGCATCTTGTCCATCCTCCCATCAACTTGTCCTTGGCAAAGGCAACTCATCGTTGTTTAAAAAGAAGGTGTGGCCATCTAGGGGCAGAGGGGCGGGGCCCAATAGGAGAAATAAAGGTAAATATAGGTAAATCCTTTAAAATCCTACTTATTATATACAGGTGAAGGGATTTGAACCAAATTGGGTCTGTAGTATCCTTGGGCAAATTTAAATGGAACACAATGTTGTATAAACAATGAGTTGGCCTAGCTAGCTGTGGGTAGAGGGGCCGGGCCAAATAGGAAATATTAAATAAACCTTTATAAAATCCTATTCCTTGAGTATAATCTAAGCGATTTTGAACCAAAATAAGTGAGGATTGACCCTGGGTTGTGGCCTTACCCCTGGGGACTTGGTCCATGAGTTTTATAATAATAATAATTTGCTTGGACGATGAAACAGATACATCCATGTTACTGATGGATAAATTTATACCATGCTACCTCGATTGCTCCACATGTGTTTTGAACTTCCGTAGAATCAGTTGAGATTCAAATCCCATATATATAACCTTATGTACAATTACCTTGCATGAAGAAACAAACACCATCATGCTACTAATATCAGGATAAGCCCATCCACCAGTCGCCTGGCCATACACAGTACACCTTACTAATATCAGGATAAGCCCATCCACCAGTCGCCTGCCCATACAGTACACCTTACTTATATCAGGATAAGCCCATCCACCAGTCGCCTGGCCATACAGTACACCTTACTTATATCAGGATAAGCCCATCCACCAGTCGCCTGGCCAAACAGTACACCTTACTAATATCAGGATAAGCCCATCCACCAGTCGCCTGGCCATACGTACATTACACCTGGAGACTTATTTCCAGTATTGCTCTTGGTAAGAATATCTTGTCATGATTGCATTGAAATCCAGGTGAGCGATACAGGCCCCTTGTCCTCTTGTTAGGAATATGGTGTGTTTCAAATTGTTGTGATAAATTGATATGTTAAATTAATATGTTTATAGATTATTATTTCCTAAATATAATGTTTATCAATTGCAGTTTCAATAAGGAAGGAAAAGCCTTTCCATGGATGCAGAGGTCCGACCAACACCAGTACAAAGCAAGTATTTTTGGACTTCAAATTATATCTAAATATACCATAGATTATTTTTTCAATGGAACATGTTTTATACCTATATATACAGGTGGTAAAATTCAATTATTACTGTATATGGATTGTCACCAGGTATATATCTGGCAAAAACATTCAAACAAATTTTGTACAAATTTTGTTACTGGTCATGTCCTTTTACTAACAAGAAACTGTCTGGATAATATTTTCATCAGTTTTCCACTGAATATTTTTATATCACCTCACTAAAAATTCACATTTCTACAAACTATTTGTATGAGAGTTACGCCCATTTTGAAAAATAGAAAAAAACACTAAGTTTTACTCCAAACTCCATGACATCAAACCAGACAATTAATGCTGTTTCATTTTTGTAACAAATAACTCATTTATTGTTGCAGTTTTTCTCCTTCAATATGAAATACAAAGATATTGAAGATCAGCCAACTGATAAGGGATTAAAACTGTACAGGGAGAAAGCAAAGGTGGCTTTGACCTCCAAGGACTACTACAACCTGTCCCATGGAATCAAAGAGGAAAAGGAGAACGAGGAGGAGGAATAAATAGCACTATCTAGTGACATATAATATATCATGTGGATGTAGATCAGAAATGTTTCAGGAACCATCGAATAGTAACAAGGTTTAGAAAGCCCCACATGAGACAAAAGGACCGAAATGTGATAAGCGGGAGAATGTGTCTAAAGTGTGTTGTAGTGTACCGTGTTGTTAATGGGGTCGATTCCATCAAGCCTCATCACAAGACCTTCACTTTAAATAAAATTTGTTGTTTCATGTATGTTTTCTCTCATTTGTTAACGTAATACGCCATGAAATTCGGCGGGGGGGGGGGGGGGGGGGGATATAGTGCTGCCCATGTCCGTCTCGTCCCGTCTCATCCTGTCATGATTCAACGTAAACACTAGATAGCAACTTCATTCTTTGACAGATTTTGATCAAAGGATGGGTGCCAATTTGGACCTAAAACAATTCAATGTCATCACTCTAGCTACTTCATTTCTTCACAGATGTGGTTTTTTTTCTCTTTTCAACTTGGAAGCATGAAAATACTTTGAATGAGTACATATTTCAGGGTGTCGAGATCAAAGTCGTAACTACATATATTTATAGAACATCATCGAACACCGAAATTAATTTCACATGGCAATAGTGCCCCGTTCATGTCTTGCAGAGGACAAAGAACTGGTGAGCTTTTGCCTTGTGCAGTGTATGTCATCCTGCTGTCGTCAACTTTTCCTTTAATTAACTTCTTCTTTAGAACCATAAGACTTGGAGTCATGATATTTGGATGGAGCCCAACAAAGATTGCGAATGAAAAATGAACTTCACCTACAATGTACTTTCAAGGTCACAGGGGTCATATATGTCAAAACCTTCAAACAACTTCTTCTGAAGAACCGAAGGGACTAGAATCATATTATTAGGCTGGTAGCTTCCTTGGATGGAACACAACAATGTTTACGAACAAAAATTGACCTTGGCCTTCCTTGAAGGTCACAGAGATCAGATATGTCAAAAACTTCCAATGACTCCTGAAGAAGAACCAAAAGGCCTAGAAATAAAGGATATCTGATTACAGTGTACAGTAGTCTACAAAAAATAGAACATTCCAGGTGAGCTATCAAGGCCTCTTGTTTTTGCCAAGTTCCTAAGCTTTAATCTCTCGATGGAGGGAGACTTCAAATTGACAAAGCTGGTATCATGAAGGTACTCTTAGAACCTGAGAAATTCAAACACTGTTAAAGCAAAGAGGTGATATTTATCATAAACACACGTTTAATTTTACACTTGTTAAGTCTATAAGGTACGATGATGACAGGCAACCCAGAATTCTGTGCTCTAAGAGATTAGAGTACTGCAGACTCGCAGCGATGAGAGAGTATGTGACTGCAGTCTGAACTGGAAGCACATAGAGGCCCACAGTATGGTGTCACAGTGTTAGTCTGTGGATCGACTGGTAACAACAATCTGAAAGTTGGCAAAGTTTGGATTCCTCTATGGCGACATACAGTCATTCATACTGCATCCTTCCTGTGAAGTTTCTGCGGAATATGTTAAGGTTAGCTCTGACCCCTGTTGTGACCTAGGCTGCAGGTTTGCGATTATGAAACTTGTATGCGACACAGTATCCAGGAATGATGCATCAGTTCCTGAAATTTCATCCGGAAATAATCAGCTTTTCAGAACATCAAGACAAGAAAAAACATCACAAATTTACCATAGATGTCCTTCCTGCGACATTGACATTGGGGTAGACACAAAAATTGTACGCAACACATGAAATTGTGAAACCTCCATCTTTGAAGTTTCTTCAAATTCACTGTGACCTGCAGAGGGATCAAGGTCATTCATATGAATAAACTAGATAGCCCTAATTCATCCCAGCGTGCTACAGGTTAAGTATCATTCTACTCTTCAGAAGAAGTGTTTACAGGATTTAACACAATTGTCCCCAGTAACCTCAAAAACGGGTTAAGGTTACTGGGGACAATTGTGTTTCTGGCCAAATAGAATAACCTTTGTTCTCTTGTTTTCATTGAGGAAAGGTCATTTAATTTTTTAACACTTTTAACCTCTATGACCTAAAGAAAATGAGTCGATTTCATTCATTGGAACATACTTGATAGTCCTTTATTTGAGCATGTGCCTGGCCAAACAAGAGGCCTAGAGGTCCTGTATCGCTTGTCTGAATAATAAGGCAAACATGGAAAATTATTCTTATTATGTTTAATACTGCAACTATTTCAAATATTGGCTTGGTCTCTCAGCAACACCCGTCCCTCATTAGGTTCCTTCTTTCTGCCCCATGAATTTGGGATGATTAACCACAATTTCCAATATTGGGCCCACCCCTCAGCCCCCTTAAAGTACTGTAGCCAACTTTTTATACAAAATTCAGCCCCTTTACCAAAGAATGCTCTACATAATATTTGGTTAAAATCCTCAAAATAAACTGGAAGAAAAGGATTTTAAACATTTATTACCATGTTCGCTCTACTGGACCCTTCCCCTTTGCTCCCAGGGAGACTACACTCTGTTATAACAAATTGGTCCCCCCTTACAAAATCATATGCTCTGGACAAAATTTTATTTAAATAACTCCAATCATACTGCAGGAGAAGGATTTTAACCTAAGTTCCCCTTTTCGGCCTGCCTCAGCACCTAAAAGGGCCACATCCTGTTTATACAAAATTTAGTCCCCTTTGGCCAAGGATGCTCTAGGCCAAGTTTGGATGAAACCCCTCCAATGGCATACAAGCAGCAGGGTTTTTAAGGTTTAAACCTCATATTTCCGTATTTGGCCCTGCCCCTCAGCCCCCAGAAGGGCCACACCATTGGTTTATACAAAATTCAGTCCTCGTTGACTAAGGATGCTCCAAGCCAAATTTTGATAAAATCCCTCCAATGGTTACAAAAGAACAATGGATTTTATAGGGTTAAACCTCAAATTCCCTATTGGGCCCCAGCACTCAAGAGGGGCCACAACCTCCGTTTATACAAAATTGAGTCGCCTTGCACAAGGGTGCTCCAGGCCAAATTTGGTCAAAATCAATAAAGCTGTTCATGACTAGTACCATTTTAAAGGAAATGTTGATGGACAACAGACAGCACAGTATGGCAGGGTGGCCAGATAAGTTAAAAATTCATTCTTGACATCTTGGTTATGTCGTGGTGCGGCTTCCATCGTCCGTCCGTCGTCTGTCCGTCCGTCCGTCGTCTGTCCGTCCGTCTTCGTCCATCAACTTTTCCTTTAAACAACTTCTTGTGAAGAACGGATAGGCCTTAAGTCATGATATTTGGCTGGAAGCTTTGTTGGTAGGAGCCCTACAAAGTTTGAAAACGAAAATGACCTTGACCTACTTTAAAGGTCACAGGGGTCAAATATGTCAAAAATTTCAAATGACTTCTTCTGAAGAACTAAAAGGTATAGAATCTTCATATTTGGCTGATGGCTTCCTGGGATGGAGCTTAACAAAGTTTGAGAATGAAAATGACTTTGATCTACTTTCAAGGTCACAGGGGTCAAATGTGTCAAAAACTTCAAACGACTTCTTCTGAAGAACTAAAAGGTATTGAAGCTTCATATTTGGTTGATTGGTTCCTTGGATGGAGCCCAACAAAGTTTAAGAATGAAAATTACCTTGACCTACTTTCAAGGTCACTGGAGTCAAATGTGTAAAAAGCTTCAAATGACTTCTTCTGAAGAACTGAACGGTATAGAATCTTTATATTTGGCTGGTGGCTTCCTGGGATAGAGCCCAACAAAGTTTGAGGAAGAAAATTAATTTGACCTACTTTCAAGGTCACAGGGGTCAAATGTGTCAGACACTTCAAACGACTTCTTCTGAACAACTGAAAGGTATAGAATCTTTATATTTGGCTTGTAGCTTCCTAGGAAAGAGCCCAACAAAGTTTGAGAATGAAAATGACCTTTACCTACTTTTAAGGTCACATGAGGCAGATATGTCAAACACTTCAAATGACTTCTTCTGAAGAACTGGAAGTTATAGAACCTTAATATTCGGCTGGTTATTTCCTGGGAAAGAGCC